TCCGCGATGCCGTGACCTACACCGAGCACGCCAAGCGTAAGACCGTTACAGCCATGGACGCAGTATACGCTCTGAACGACAAGGACGTACTCTGTACGGTTTTGGGGGTTAGAATACACTGTAATCCCTGATCAACACTTAAACCAACGGCTCTTTTAGGAGCCAACAAATGTATGAAAAGCTCTGACCAATACGTGATAAGAGAATTTGTTTTCATTACGATCATTGCTGAAGGTTTATATACATATCAACAAGTCAACATACACCTGAAATCGATTCAGCGCTTTATTTACTGGGTGCGTCCACGCCAGTTTTTTTTTTTTTTTTAGTGACTTTACAGCAGCGCAGTCGTTACTTATACAGGGAAATTTTTTTTTCCCGTCTAGATTAGCCTCATAGCTCTTTTGCGGGGCATACAATACTGTAAAGCTTTTGTCTTTAATTAGTTAGTGAATAAACTGTTGTTGTACGTTGTTGTTGTGGCAGAATTAAGAGAGCAAGTTGGTTTGTGTCGTTACCGACGACGGTTTATAACTGTGTTAGTTTATTTTACGTAAACAGCTTGTGTACCGAAGGAAATCACGACGATCTCTTTGTAATTTTTAGGCAAAGAAAACAACATTTCAAGCTCAGTAGTAGCAGCAATGTTTGTTCCCGGTTGGTAGGAATGCGATTAATTGTGTACTCGTTTAAAAAGAGCAGAAAGTTGTTCGATTGTCGCTTGGTATGTACCTCGAAGTTCGTATAAAAACCTGTTGGAAACAGCGCGAATGAAACCTGCATAGAAAGCAAACGCAATTTCAACTTTCATGATATAATCACATCAGTCTTTAAATTCATGTTACACCGAGCTAAACTGACCTAAGACTGGTTTCAGTTTTCGTTAATGCTGTGGTTGTTGTTGTTGTTTGTTTTTACATGCGATAGCCGAAATAGCGCTAAATATGCTTTGGTATACGCATTTATGAACAAAACTAGCAACATGGAACCATGCAAAAACAAATAGAAATAGCGAGTTTCCGCGAGACATAATTATTTGTGGCTAAGTATCGATCGAGTTATTAACCCCAAACTTAGACGGCGAATACTATTTGGGGGGTAGATTACAAATTTATATCGTGATTGGTCATGACTTTATTCTAGACTTGGTGGCTCCTAAAAGAGCCGTTTGTATTTATGGTTGTTGCCGTCGCTTAGTGTTGTTTCTTCTCTGTCTTTTTAGGTAGTAATACTGCCTGAATGTTGGGAAGAACACCGCCTTGAGCGATGGTGACACCGGCAAGGAGTTTGTTTAATTCTTCGTCATTTCGCACAGCCAACTGGAGGTGACGAGGAATGATTCTTGACTTCTTGTTGTCGCGTGCTGCGTTTCCTGCTAACTCGAGGATCTCAGCACTCAGATACCAAGTACGGCAGCCAAGCACACGGGAGCACCGGCCCGACGCGTTCAGCGTAGTTGCCTTTACGAAGAAGGCGATGGATGCGACCAACAGGAAACTGTAGACCTGCCCTGGAAGAACGAGTCTTTGACTTGGTGCCCTGGGCTTTACCTTTTCCTCGTCCGGTCATTTTGTCGAGTAACTCGTATCTTAAGTTTCAGTTTAAGTTTCAGGAGACTGTTTTCCAAGACATGACTTCGGCCGCCATAATTTATCACGCGCGGACTGCGTTTCGTGGATCAGATTGCACCAATCAAAAGTCTTACATTGGCTCATAAAAGAAATTTAGCCTTGCAATTGTTCTCTTTGTGTCGATTGGCGGCACGCTCCATTGTTTACACCGAGAAAAAAAAAAGACACCAATCACCGACGAGAACTTGCGATCCGCATATTAATTGATCCTATTGAATTTGGCAACATAAATAGAAACTGTGATATCCCGAATTACCAAACTCTATTTCGAAAAGGCAGAGATATCTTTCTTTACCATGGCACCTAAACCGATTGCAGCTAAAAAGGGAGAGAAGAAGAGCGGCGGTAAGGCAAAATCCACGTCGGGCGACAGTACGAAAAAACGGCGATCGAAACGGAAGGAGAGTTATGCGATCTACATCTACAAAGTGTTGAAGCAGGTACATCCTGACACCGGAATCTCCAGCAAAGCAATGGGTATCATGAACTCTTTCGTGAACGATATCTTTGAGCGCATTGCTACAGAATCCTCCCGTCTAGCCCACTACAACAAGAAGTCCACTATCAGCTCCCGCGAGATTCAGAGACAGCCATCAGACTGCTCCTTCCAGGAGAACTCGCAAAGCACGCAGTCAGTGAGGGTACCAAGGCCGTCACGAAGTACACTAGTAGCAAGTGAAGTCCATTCTTCAATACCAGATCTAAACAACGGCTCTTTTAGGAGCCACCAAATGTCAAAAAAAGCAATGATCAACACAGTTTTTAGAGTTTTCAATCGTCATTATAAACCCTGAAACTCTTCGCACACTTTGTCCCATTAAAAAATGTCAAGGAACGAACAAATCATTCCTCTATTTACCTGTTCAACTTTACTTTTTTACATAAAAAACACACAGATAAAGGTTTTAAAAGATGATTTTTATGCAAGCAAAGAGAAAAGAAGAAAAAAAAAGAAACAAATAAACGATTGCTGGTTGACAACACGCACCGAACCCAACAGTTTCCGCACGATCTCCTTCCCAGCGCGATGACCACTACACCACGCCAGAGAATCAACTGAAGTAGTTCGTAAAACAACGTTACTTAAAAGTGTTACAGGCATGAACAGGTCATTTCGGTACTGCACTTGAGAACAAGAAAACGGTTTACCAGGCTGCAAATATATATTTTCCGGGATGTAAGGGTTTTAATACTTCAAATCAGTTAAGCGGGAGGGATTCTTACTATTGAATATTGACGTTTACGGTAGTTTTCATTACCCGGGTACCTGATAACCAGTTTCTTGACCAAGGTGCATGTACTGACCACTTCGAATAAAAAAGTATTTATCTTATCTGATCTGATCTGATCTGATCTTATGGAGTGGCTTTTGTTTACTCTTTTTTTTAAGGCGTCTCTAAGCCGCGGTTCAAGTAACCTTCTGCTTAACAAAAACGAAATCAGTTTCGGCAAAGGAGAAATAAATACTGTGTTATAGGTGAAGGTGACCTAAGGTCAACATACTAGAGGTGATATTGGTGATGACTTTTTTTTATTTGGTGGCTCCTAAAGGAGCCGGTAGTTGAATAAGTGGGCGAGTTTTACTTGCCACTGACTTTCTTGTTGGCTGATTTTTTAACCGAGGCTTTGCTTTCTTTTCGCTTTCTTAGGCAACGGCTTCTTTGTGGCAGTCTTCTTTGGCACGAGAGGTGTCTTCTTCTTGCTGCTGGAAACTTTCTTACCCGGCGATTTCTTGGTTTTCTCGGTTGGTTTGCGGGCGGTCTTTTTTTTTCGCGGCGACCTTCTTTATTTTTGGTTTGTTGGCTGGATCGGCGGTTTTGGTCTTCTTCGCCAGGTCTTTGGCTGCTTTTGCTTTTTTACTTTTTGTTGACCTTGAAAGAACCTGAAGCTCCGGACCCTTTGGTGTTGATAAATTGACCATTCTCCACGCCTCTCTTAAGAGCCATTTTAATAAAATGACTTGCTTTGTCTCCCACTTTGAAATGGTTCTTAACGTACTTGTCGACAGCCTGACGTGAAGAACCATTACGATCTTTCAGGGCGTGAAGGGCTTGTATGATCATTTCTGCATACTTAGGGTGTTCGGCGGCTGTTTAGAAGCTTTCTTCTGGGTGCTTTTGACAGACATGTCTCGTTATAGTCTCCACAGCGATAGCTAATGTTGGTTACTTGCGCAACTCTTTTCTTAAGTTGTTATAGCGGACCGCAGAGGGATCAGTTACTACTGATCGCGATAGATCTGTTACCTCTAAGATGTTTGCTAAGTTCTTTGAAAATGAGATGGATTGTAAACGTCAACATAGGAAGACAGGCAGAGAGATAGACTGAACGAATAAGGAGTTGTTGGGCGCAATCACTAATTTTTGGTAAGTTTAGGGATACTAGTACTCTACTGTGTCCTTATCGCGAAAAAACTTGTAACGGCGTGGAGTATGAGAATTATTTCTGTCTCATTTCACTAGTAACTAATAAAGAAATAAGTAGAGACAAGGTAAGAAGTAGTTTATTGGCCATTAACTTTTATTGTCAGGTGGTGGCTCCTAAAGGAGCCGTTTGTAATGTGAGATTGTCAGAACCGAGCTGAGCTGTTATGCACGTTCGCCCCGGATCCTACGAGCCAACTGGATATCTTTAGGCATGATGGTGACACGTTTAGCGTGAATGGCGCAAAGGTTGGTGTCCTCGAAAAGACCGACCAGGTAGGCTTCGCTAGCCTCTTGAAGAGCCAGCACGGCTGAGCTTTGAAAGCGCAAGTCGGTCTTGAAATCCTGAGCGATTTTCGAACAAGACGCTGAAACGGTAACTTGCGAATCAGCAACTCGGTGGACTTCTGATAACGACGGATCTCTGAGGGCCACTGTTCCTGGCCTGTAACGGTGCGGTTTTTTCACGCCACCAGTAGCAGGAGCGTTTTCGAGCTGCCTTAGTAGCCAGCTGTTTACGAGGCGCTTTTCCTCCGGTGGACTTTCTCGCTGTTTGCTTGGTTCGGGCCATGACTGTGAAACTGATGTTCAGAAGATTAAAGGCTCTATGTGAAAGCTGGGCAATTTTTATGGCCGCGATTTATCAGGAGGCTGTCGCAAGCCGATTGGATATTTAAGGATTTATGCATTTCTGATTGGTTCGGCTTCGGAGACACCCTGCTTTGATTTGCATGCCTTACAATAGACAGTGGGGCGAAAGAAAATTATAATATTATTTTTTGTTGTCCTTTTACTAAGAACAAATCTATGTAAATACAAGAAATAATGTTTCCCGAGAGGTCAGATTGAAGGGTATAGATTGAAAAGTAATTTCTGTTCTGCAGTAATTTAACATAGAGCGAGACCTTTCCTTTTTAAACCTTGACGATAATTCAGACAACCGAGAATGTCCGGTCGCGGCAAAGGAGGTAAAGGCTTGGGCAAAGGTGGTGCTAAGCGTCATCGTAAGATTCTACGCGATAATATCCAAGGAATTACCAAGCCAGCGATCCGTCGTCTCGCTCGCCGTGGGGTGTAAAGCGAATTTCTGGACTGATCTACGAGGAGACACGCGGTGTTCTGAAAGTTTTCCTTGAGAACGTTATCCGCGATGCCGTGACCTACACCGAGCACGCCAAGCGTAAGACCGTTACAGCCATGGACGTAGTATACGCTCTGAACGACAAGGACGTACTCTGTACGGTTTTGGGGGTTAGAATACACTGTAATCCCTGATCAACACTTTAAACCAACGGCTCTTTTAGGAGCCAACAAATGTATGAAAAGCTCTGACCAATACGTGATAAGAGAATTTGTTTTCATTACGATCATTGCTGAAGGTTTATATACATATCAACAAGTCAACATACACCTGAAATCGATTCAGCGCTTTATTTACTGGGTGCGTCCACGCCAGTTTTTTCTTTTTTAGTGACTTTACAGCAGCGCAGTCGTTACTTATACAGGGAAATTATTTTTTTCCCGTCTAGATTAGCCTCATAGCTTTTGCGGGGCATACAATACTGTAAAGCTTTTTGTCTTTAATTAGTTAGTGAATAAACTGTTGTTGTACGTTGTTGTTGTGGCAGAATTAAGAGAGCAAGCTGGTTTGTGTCGTTACCGACGACGGTTTATAACTGTGTTAGTTTATTTTACGTAAACAGCTTGTGTACCGAAGGAAATCACGACGATCTCTTTGTAATTTTTAGGCAAAAAGAAAACAACATTTCAAGCTCAGTAGTAGCAGCAATGTTTGTTCCCGGTTGGTAGGAATGCGATTAATTGTGTACTCGTTTAAAAAGAGCAGAAAGTTGTTCGATTGTCGCTTGGTATGTACCTCGAAGTTCGTATAAAAACCTGTTGGAAACAGCGCGAATGAAACCTGCATAGAAAGCAAACGCAATTTCAACTTTCATGATATAATCACATCAGTCTTTAAATTCATGTTACACCGAGCTAAACTGACCTAAGACTGGTTTCAGTTTTCGTTAATGCTGTGGTTGTTGTTGTTTGTTTGTTTTACATGCGATAGCCGAAATAGCGCTAAATATGCTTTGGTATACGCATTTATGAACAAAACTAGCAACATGGAACCATGCAAAAACAAATAGAAATAGCGAGTTTCCGCGCGAGACATAATTATTTGTGGCTAAGTATCGATCGAGTTATTAACCCCAAACTTAGACGGCGAATACTATTTGGGGGTAGATTACAAATTTATATCGTGATTGGTCATGACTTTATTCTAGACTTGGTGGTCCTAAAAGAGCCGTTTGTATTTATGGTTGTTGCCGTCGCTTAGTGTTGTTTTCTTCTGTGTTTTTAGGTAGTAATACTGCCTGAATGTTGGGAAGAACACCGCCTTGAGCGATGGTGACACCGGCAAGGAGTTTGTTTAATTCTTCGTCATTTCGCACAGCCAACTGGAGGTGACGAGGAATGATTCTTGACTTCTTGTTGTCGCGTGCTGCGTTTCCTGCTAACTCGAGGATCTCAGCACTCAGATACCAAGTACGGCAGCCAAGCACACGGGAGCACCGGCCCGACGCGTTCAGCGTAGTTGCCTTTACGAAGAAGGCGATGGATGCGACCAACAGGAAACTGTAGACCTGCCCTGGAAGAACGAGTCTTTGACTTGGTGCCCTGGGCTTTACCTTTTCCTCGTCCGGTCATTTTGTCGAGTAACTCGTATCTTAAGTTTCAGTTTAAGTTTCAGGAGACTGTTTTCCAAGACATGACTTCGGCCGCCATAATTTATCACGCGCGGACTGCGTTTCGTGGATCAGATTGCACCAATCAAAAGTCTTACATTGGCTCATAAAAGAAATTTAGCCTTGCAATTGTTCTCTTTGTGTCGATTGGCGGCACGCTCCATTGTTTACACCGAAAAAAAAAGACACCAATCACCGACGAGAACTTGCGATCCGCATATTAATTGATCCTATTGAATTTGGCAACATAAATAGAAACTGTGATATCCCGAATTACCAAACTCTATTTCGAAAAGGCAGAGATATCTTTCTTTACCATGGCACCTAAACCGATTGCAGCTAAAAAGGGAGAGAAGAAGAGCGGCGGTAAGGCAAAATCCACGTCGGGCGACAGTACGAAAAAAAACGGCGATCGAAACGGAAGGAGAGTTATGCGATCTACATCTACAAAGTGTTGAAGCAGGTACATCCTGACACCGGAATCTCCAGCAAAGCAATGGGTATCATGAACTCTTTCGTGAACGATATCTTTGAGCGCATTGCTACAGAATCCTCCCGTCTAGCCCACTACAACAAGAAGTCCACTATCAGCCCCCGCGAGATTCAGACAGCCATCAGACTGCTCCTTCCAGGAGAACTCGCAAAGCACGCAGTCAGTGAGGGTACCAAGGCCGTCACGAAGTACACTAGTAGCAAGTGAAGTCCATTCTTCAATACCAGATCTAAACAACGGCTCTTTTAGGAGCCACCAAATGTCAAAAAAAAGCAATGATCAACACAGTTTCTTAGAGTTTTCAATCGTCATTATAAACCCTGAAACTCTTCGCACACTTGTTCCCATTAAAAATGTCAAGGAACGAACAAATCATTCCTCTATTTACCTGTTCAACTTTACTTTTTACATAAAAAACACACAGATAAAGGTTTTAAAAGATGATTTTTTATGTAAGCAAGGAGAAAAGAAAAAAAAAAAAGAAACAAATAAACGATTGCTGGTTGACAACACGCACCGAACCCAACAGTTTCCGCACGATCTCCTTCCCAGCGCGATGACCACTACACCACGCCAGAGAATCAACTGAAGTAGTTCGTAAAACAACGTTACTTAAAAGTGTTACAGGCATGAACAGGTCATTTCGGTACTGCACTTGAGAACAAGAAAACGGTTTACCAGGCTGCAAATATATATTTTCCGGGATGTAAGGGTTTTAATACTTCAAATCAGTTAAGCGGGAGGGATTCTTACTATTGAATATTGACGTTTACGGTAGTTTTCATTACCCGGGTACCTGATAACCAGTTTCTTGACCAAGGTGCATGTACTGACCACTTCGAATAAAAAGTATTTATCTTATCTGATCTGATCTGATCTGATCTTATGGAGTGGCTTTTGTTTACTCTTTTTAATGTCTCTAAGCCGCGGTTCAAGTAACCTTCTGCTTAACAAAAACGAAATCAGTTTCGGCAAAGGAGAAATAAAATACTGTGCTATAGGTGAAGGTGACCTAAGGTCAACATACTAGAGGTGATATTGGTGATGACTTTTCTTTATTTGGTGGCTCCTAAAGGAGCCGGTAGTTGAATAAGTGGGCGAGTTTTACTTGCCACTGACTTTCTTGTTGGCTGATTTTTTAACCGAGGCTTTGCTTTCTTTTCGCTTTCTTAGGCAACGGGCTTTGTGGCAGTCTTCTTTGGCACGAGAGGTGTCTTCTTCTTGCTGCTGGAAACTTTCTTACCCGGCGATTTCTTGGTTTTCTCGGTTGGTTTGCGGGCGGTCTTTTTTTCTTTCGCGGCGACCTTCTTTATTTTTGGTTTGTTGGCTGGATCGGCGGTTTTGGTCTTCTTCGCCAGGTCTTTGGCTGCCTTTGCTTTTTTTTACTTTGTTGACCTTGAAAGAACCTGAAGCTCCGGACCCTTTGGTGTTGATAAATTGACCATTCTCCACGCCTCTCTTAAGAGCCATTTTAATAAAATGACTTGCTTTGTCTCCCACTTTGAAATGGTTCTTAACGTACTTGTCGACAGCCTGACGTGAAGAACCATTACGATCTTTCAGGGCGTGAAGGGCTTGTATGATCATTTCTGCATACTTAGGGTGTTCGGCCGGCTGTTTAGAAGCTTTCTTCTGGGTGCTTTTGACAGACATGTCTCGTTATAGTCTCCACAGCGATAGCTAATGTTGGTTACTTGCGCAACTCTTTTCTTAAGTTGTTATAGCGGACCGCAGAGGGATCAGTTACTACTGATCGCGATAGATCTGTTACCTCTAAGATGTTTGCTAAGTTCTTTGAAAATGAGATGGATTGTAAACGTCAACATAGGAAGACAGGCAGAGAGATAGACTGAACGAATAAGGAGTTGTTGGGCGCAATCACTAATTTTTGGTAAGTTTAGGGATACTAGTACTCTACTGTGTCCTTATCGCGAAAAAACTTGTAACGGCGTGGAGTATGAGAATTATTTCTGTCTCATTTCACTAGTAACTAATAAAGAAATAAGTAGAGACAAGGTAAGAAGTAGTTTATTGGCCATTAACTTTTTATTGTCAGGTGGTGGCTCCTAAAGGAGCCGTTTGTAATGTGAGATTGTCAGAACCGAGCTGAGCTGTTATGCACGTTCGCCCCGGATCCTACGAGCCAACTGGATATCTTTAGGCATGATGGTGACACGTTTAGCGTGAATGGCGCAAAGGTTGGTGTCCTCGAAAAGACCGACCAGGTAGGCTTCGCTAGCCTCTTGAAGAGCCAGCACGGCTGAGCTTTGAAAGCGCAAGTCGGTCTTGAAATCCTGAGCGATTTTCGAACAAGACGCTGAAACGGTAACTTGCGAATCAGCAACTCGGTGGACTTCTGATAACGACGGATCTCTGAGGGCCACTGTTCCTGGCCTGTAACGGTGCGGTTTTTTCACGCCCCAGTAGCAGCAGGAGCGCTCTTTCGAGCTGCCTTAGTAGCCAGCTGTTTACGAGGCGCTTTTCCTCCGGTGGACTTTCTCGCTGTTTGCTTGGTTCGGGCCATGACTGTGAAACTGATGTTCAGAAGATTAAAGGCTCTATGTGAAAGCTGGGCAATTTTTATGGCCGCGATTTATCAGGAGGCTGTCGCAAGCCGATTGGATATTTAAGGATTTATGCATTTCTGATTGGTTCGGCTTCGGAGACACCCTGCTTTGATTTGCATGCCTTACAATAGACAGTGGGGCGAAAGAAAATTATAATATTCTTTTTGTTGTCCTTTTACTAAGAACAAATCTATGTAAATACAAGAAATAATGTTTCCCGAGAGGTCAGATTGAAGGGTATAGATTGAAAAGTAATTTCTGTTCTGCAGTAATTTAACATAGAGCGAGACCTTTCCCTTTTTAAACCTTGACGATAATTCAGACAACCGAGAATGTCCGGTCGCGGCAAAGGAAAAGGCTTGGGCAAAGGTGGTGCTAAGCGTCATCGTAAGATTCTACGCGATAATATCCAAGGAATTACCAAGCCAGCGATCCGTCGTCTCGCTCGCCGTGGGGGTGTAAAGCGAATTTCTGGACTGATCTACGAGGAGACACGCGGTGTTCTGAAAGTTTTCCTTGAGAACGTTATCCGCGATGCCGTGACCTACACCGAGCACGCCAAGCGTAAGACCGTTACAGCCATGGACGTAGTATACGCTCTGAACGACAAGGACGTACTCTGTACGGGTTTTGGGGGTTAGAATACACTGTAATCCCTGATCAACACTTAAACCAACGGCTCTTTTAGGAGCCAACAAATGTATGAAAAGCTCTGACCAATACGTGATAAGAGAATTTGTTTTCATTACGATCATTGCTGAAGGTTTATATACATATCAACAAGTCAACATACACCTGAAATCGATTCAGCGCTTTATTTACTGGGTGCGTCCACGCCAGTTTTTTTTTTAGTGACTTTACAGCAGCGCAGTCGTTACTTATACAGGGAAATTATTTTTTTTTTCCCGTCTAGATTAGCCTCATAGCTTTTTTGCGGGGCATACAATACTGTAAAGCTTTTGTCTTTAATTAGTTAGTGAATAAACTGTTGTTGTACGTTGTTGTTGTGGCAGAATTAAGAGAGCAAGTTGGTTTGTGTCGTTACCGACGACGGTTTATAACTGTGTTAGTTTATTTTACGTAAACAGCTTGTGTACCGAAGGAAATCACGACGATCTCTTTGTAATTTTTAGGCAAAGAAAACAACATTTCAAGCTCAGTAGTAGCAGCAATGTTTGTTCCCGGTTGGTAGGAATGCGATTAATTGTGTACTCGTTTAAAAAGAGCAGAAAGTTGTTCGATTGTCGCTTGGTATGTACCTCGAAGTTCGTATAAAAACCTGTTGGAAACAGCGCGAATGAAACCTGCATAGAAAGCAAACGCAATTTCAACTTTCATGATATAATCACATCAGTCTTTAAATTCATGTTACACCGAGCTAAACTGACCTAAGACTGGTTTCAGTTTTCGTTAATGCTGTGGTTGCTGTTGTTTGTTTTTACATGCGATAGCCGAAATAGCGCTAAATATGCTTTGGTATACGCATTTATGAACAAAACTAGCAACATGGAACCCAAAAACAAATAGAAATAGCGAGTTTCCGCGAGACATAATTATTTGTGGCTAAGTATCGATCGAGTTATTAACCCCAAACTTAGACGGCGAATACTATTTGGGGGTAGATTACAAATTTATATCGTGATTGGTCATGACTTTATTCTAGACTTGGTGGCTCCTAAAAGAGCCGTTTGTATTTATGGTTGTTGCCGTCGCTTAGTGTTGTTTTTCTTCTGTCTTTTTAGGTAGTAATACTGCCTGAATGTTGGGAAGAACACCGCCTTGAGCGATGGTGACACCGGCAAGGAGTTTGTTTAATTCTTCGTCATTTCGCACAGCCAACTGGAGGTGACGAGGAATGATTCTTGACTTCTTGTTGTCGCGTGCTGCGTTTCCTGCTAACTCGAGGATCTCAGCACTCAGATACCAAGTACGGCAGCCAAGCACACGGGAGCACCGGCCCGACGCGTTCAGCGTAGTTGTTTTTTTACGAAGAAGGCGATGGATGCGACCAACAGGAAACTGTAGACCTGCCCTGGAAGAACGAGTCTTTGACTTGGTGCCCTGGGCTTTACCTTTTCCTCGTCCGGTCATTTTGTCGAGTAACTCGTATCTTAAGTTTCAGTTTAAGTTTCAGGAGACTGTTTTCCAAGACATGACTTCGGCCGCCATAATTTATCACGCGCGGACTGCGTTTCGTGGATCAGATTGCACCAATCAAAAGTCTTACATTGGCTCATAAAAGAAATTTAGCCTTGCAATTGTTCTCTTTGTGTCGATTGGCGGCACGCTCCATTGTTTACACCGAGAAAAAAAAGACACCAATCACCGACGAGAACTTGCGATCCGCATATTAATTGATCCTATTGAATTTGGCAACATAAATAGAAACTGTGATATCCCGAATTACCAAACTCTATTTCGAAAAGGCAGAGATATCTTTCTTTACCATGGCACCTAAACCGATTGCAGCTAAAAAGGGAGAGAAGAAGAGCGGCGGTAAGGCAAAATCCACGTCGGGCGACAGTACGAAAAAACGGCGATCGAAACGGAAGGAGAGTTATGCGATCTACATCTACAAAGTGTTGAAGCAGGTACATCCTGACACCGGAATCTCCAGCAAAGCAATGGGTATCATGAACTCTTTCGTGAACGATATCTTTGAGCGCATTGCTACAGAATCCTCCCGTCTAGCCCACTACAACAAGAAGTCCACTATCAGCTCCCGCGAGATTCAGACAGCCATCAGACTGCTCCTTCCAGGAGAACTCGCAAAGCACGCAGTCAGTGAGGGTACCAAGGCCGTCACGAAGTACACTAGTAGCAAGTGAAGTCCATTCTTCAATACCAGATCTAAACAACGGCTCTTTTAGGAGCCACCAAATGTCAAAAAAAGCAATGATCAACACAGTTTCTTAGAGTTTTCAATCGTCATTATAAACCCTGAAACTCTTCGCACACTTGTTCCCATTAAAAATGTCAAGGAACGAACAAATCATTCCTCTATTTACCTGTTCAACTTTACTTTTTACAAAAAAACACACAGATAAAGGTTTTAAAAGATGATTTTTATGTAAGCAAAGAGAAAAGAAAAAAAAAAAAAAAGAAACAAATAAACGATTGCTGGTTGACAACACGCACCGAACCCAACAGTTTCCGCACGATCTCCTTCCCAGCGCGATGACCACTACACCACGCCAGAGAATCAACTGAAGTAGTTCGTAAAACAACGTTACTTAAAAGTGTTACAGGCATGAACAGGTCATTTCGGTACTGCACTTGAGAACAAGAAAACGGTTTACCAGGCTGCAAATATATATTTTCCGGGATGTAAGGGTTTTAATACTTCAAATCAGTTAAGCGGGAGGGATTCTTACTATTGAATATTGACGTTTACGGTAGTTTTCATTACCCGGGTACCTGATAACCAGTTTCTTGACCAAGGTGCATGTACTGACCACTTCGAATAAAAAGTATTTATCTTATCTGATCTGATCTGATCTGATCTTATGGAGTGGCTTTTGTTTACTCTTTTAAGGCGTCTCTAAGCCGCGGTTCAAGTAACCTTCTGCTTAACAAAAACGAAATCAGTTTCGGCAAAGGAGAAATAAATACTGTGCTATAGGTGAAGGTGACCTAAGGTCAACATACTAGAGGTGATATTGGTGATGACTTTTCTTTATTTGGTGGCTCCTAAAGGAGCCGGTAGTTGAATAAGTGGGCGAGTTTTACTTGCCACTGACTTTCTTGTTGGCTGATTTTTTAACCGAGGCTTTGCTTTCTTTTCGCTTTCTTAGGCAACGGCTTCTTTGTGGCAGTCTTCTTTGGCACGAGAGGTGTCTTCTTCTTGCTGCTGGAAACTTTCTTACCCGGCGATTTCTTGGTTTTCTCGGTTGGTTTGCGGGCGTCTTTTTCTTTCGCGGCGACCTTCTTTATTTTTGGTTTGTTGGCTGGATCGGCGGTTTTGGTCTTCTTCGCCAGGTCTTTGGCTGCCTTTGCTTTTTTACTTCTTTGTTGACCTTGAAAGAACCTGAAGCTCCGGACCCTTTGGTGTTGATAAATTGACCATTCTCCACGCCTCTCTTAAGAGCCATTTTAATAAAATGACTGCTTTTGTCTCCCACTTTGAAATGGTTCTTAACGTACTTGTCGACAGCCTGACGTGAAGAACCATTACGATCTTTCAGGGCGTGAAGGGCTTGTATGATCATTTCTGCATACTTAGGGTGTTCGGCCGGCTGTTTAGAAGCTTTCTTCTGGGTGCTTTTGACAGACATGTCTCGTTATAGTCTCCACAGCGATAGCTAATGTTGGTTACTTGCGCGCAACTTTTTCTTAAGTTGTTATAGCGGACCGCAGAGGGATCAGTTACTACTGATCGCGATAGATCTGTTACCTCTAAGATGTTTGCTAAGTTCTTTGAAAATGAGATGGATTGTAAACGTCAACATAGGAAGACAGGCAGAGAGATAGACTGAACGAATAAGGAGTTGTTGGGCGCAATCACTAATTTTTTGGTAAGTTTAGGGATACTAGTACTCTACTGTGTCCTTATCGCGAAAAAAAAAACTTGTAACGGCGTGGAGTATGAGAATTATTTCTGTCTCATTTCACTAGTAACTAATAAAGAAATAAGTAGAGACAAGGTAAGAAGTAGTTTATTGGCCATTAACTTTTTTATTGTCAGGTGGTGGCTCCTAAAGGAGCCGTTTGTAATGTGAGATTGTCAGAACCGAGCTGAGCTGTTATGCACGTTCGCCCCGGATCCTACGAGCCAACTGGATATCTTTAGGCATGATGGTGACACGTTTAGCGTGAATGGCGCAAAGGTTGGTGTCCTCGAAAAGACCGACCAGGTAGGCTTCGCTAGCCTCTTGAAGAGCCAGCACGGCTGAGCTTTGAAAGCGCAAGTCGGTCTTGAAATCCTGAGCGATTTCTCGAACAAGACGCTGAAACGGTAACTTGCGAATCAGCAACTCGGTGGACTTCTGATAACGACGGATCTCTCTGAGGGCCACTGTTCCTGGCCTGTAACGGTGCGGTTTTTTTCACGCCACCAGTAGCAGGAGCGCTCTTTCGAGCTGCCTTAGTAGCCAGCTGTTTACGAGGCGCTTTTCCTCCGGTGGACTTTCTCGCTGTTTGCTTGGTTCGGGCCATGACTGTGAAACTGATGTTCAGAAGATTAAAGGCTCTATGTGAAAGCTGGGCAATTTTTATGGCCGCGATTTATCAGGAGGCTGTCGCAAGCCGATTGGATATTTAAGGATTTATGCATTTCTGATTGGTTCGGCTTCGGAGACACCCTGCTTTGATTTGCATGCCCAACAATAGACAGTGGGGCGAAAGAAAATTATAATATTTTTTTGTTGTCCTTTTACTAAGAACAAATCTATGTAAATACAAGAAATAATGTTTCCCGAGAGGTCAGATTGAAGGGTATAGATTGAAAAGTAATTTCTGTTCTGCAGTAATTTAACATAGAGCGAGACCTTTCCCTTTTTAAACCTTGACGATAATTCAGACAACCGAGAATGTCCGGTCGCGGCAAAGGAGGTAAAGGCTTGGGCAAAGGTGGTGCTAAGCGTCATCGTAAGATTCTACGCGATAATATCCAAGGAATTACCAAGCCAGCGATCCGTCGTCTCGCTCGCCGTGGGGGGTGTAAAGCGAATTTCTGGACTGATCTACGAGGAGACACGCGGTGTTCTGAAAGTTTTCCTTGAGAACGTTATCCGCGATGCCGTGACCTACACCGAGCACGCCAAGCGTAAGACCGTTACAGCCATGGACGTAGTATACGCTCTGAACGACAAGGACGTACTCTGTACGGTTTTGGGGGTTAGAATACACTGTAATCCCTGATCAACACTTAAACCAACGGCTCTTTTTTAGGAGCCAACAAATGTATGAAAAGCTCTGACCAATACGTGATAAGAGAATTTGTTTTCATTACGATCATTGCTGAAGGTTTATATACATATCAACAAGTCAACATACACCTGAAATCGATTCAGCGCTTTATTTACTGGGTGCGTCCACGCCAGTTTTTTCTTTTTTAGTGACTTTACAGCAGCGCAGTCGTTACTTATACAGGGAAATATTTTTTTTTTCCCGTCTAGATTAGCCTCATAGCTTTTTGCGGGGCATACAATACTGTAAAGCTTTTGTCTTTAATTAGTTAGTGAATAAACTGTTGTTGTACGTTGTTGTTGTGGCAGAATTAAGAGAGCAAGCTGGTTTGTGTCGTTACCGACGACGGTTTATAACTGTGTTAGTTTATTTTACGTAAACAGCTTGTGTACCGAAGGAAATCACGACGATCTCTTGTAATTTTTAGGCAAAGAAAACAACATTTCAAGCTCAGTAGTAGCAGCAATGTTTGTTCCCGGTTGGTAGGAATGCGATTAATTGTGTACTCGTTTAAAAAGAGCAGAAAGTTGTTCGATTGTCGCTTGGTATGTACCTCGAAGTTCGTATAAAAACCTGTTGGAAACAGCGCGAATGAAACCTGCATAGAAAGCAAACGCAATTTCAACTTTCATGATATAATCACATCAGTCTTTAAATTCATGTTACACCGAGCTAAACTGACCTAAGACTGGTTTCAGTTTTCAAATAATGCTGTGGTTGCTGTTGTTTGTTTCTTACATGCGATAGCCGAAATAGCGCTAAATATGCTTTGGTATACGCATTTATGAACAAAACTAGCAACATGGAACCATGCAAAAACAAATAGAAATAGCGAGTTTCCGCGAGACATAATTATTTGTGGCTAAGTATCGATCGAGTTATTAACCCCAAACTTAGACGGCGAATACTATTTGGGGGGTAGATTACAAATTTATATCGTGATTGGTCATGACTTTATTCTAGACTTGGTGGCTCCTAAAAGAGCCGTTTGTATTTATGGTTGTTGCCGTCGCTTAGTGTTGTTTTTCTCTGTCTTTTTAGGTAGTAATACTGCCTGAATGTTGGGAAGAACACCGCCTTGAGCGATGGTGACACCGGCAAGGAGTTTGTTTAATTCTTCGTCATTTCGCACAGCCAACTGGAGGTGACGAGGAATGATTCTTGACTTCTTGTTGTCGCGTGCTGCGTTTCCTGCTAACTCGAGGATCTCAGCACTCAGATACTCAAGTACGGCAGCCAAGTACACGGGAGCACCGGCTCCGACGCGTTCAGCGTAGTTGCTTTTTACGAAGAAGGCGATGGATGCGACCAACAGGAAACTGTAGACCTGCCCTGGAAGAACGAGTCTTTGACTTGGTGCCCTGGGCTTTACCTTTTCCTCGTCCGGTCATTTTGTCGAGTAACTCGTATCTTAAGTTTCAGTTTAAGTTTCAGGAGACTGTTTTCCAAGACATGACTTCGGCCGCCATAATTTATCACGCGCGGACTGCGTTTCGTGGATCAGATTGCACCAATCAAAAGTCTTACATTGGCTCATAAAAGAAATTCTAGCCTTGCAATTGTTCTCTTTGTGTCGATTGGCGGCACGCTCCATTGTTTACACCGAGAAAAAAAAGACACCAATCACCGACGAGAACTTGCGATCCGCATATTAATTGATCCTATTGAATTTGGCAACATAAATAGAAACTGTGATATCCCGAATTACCAAACTCTATTTCGAAAAGGCAGAGATATCTTTCTTTACCATGGCACCTAAACCGATTGCAGCTAAAAAAAGGAGAGAAGAAGAGCGGCGGTAAGGCAAAATCCACGTCGGGCGACAGTACGAAAAAAACGGCGATCGAAACGGAAGGAGAGTTATGCGATCTACATCTACAAAGTGTTGAAGCAGGTACATCCTGACACCGGAATCTCCAGCAAAGCAATGGGTATCATGAACTCTTTCGTGAACGATATCTTTGAGCGCATTGCTACAGAATCCTCCCGTCTAGCCCACTACAACAAGAAGTCCACTATCAGCTCCCGCGAGATTCAGACAGCCATCAGACTGCTCCTTCCAGGAGAACTCGCAAAGCACGCAGTCAGTGAGGGTACCAAGGCCGTCACGAAGTACACTAGTAGCAAGTGAAGTCCATTCTTCAATACCAGATCTAAACAACGGCTCTTTTAGGAGCCACCAAATGTCAAAAAGCAATGATCAACACAGTTTCTTAGAGTTTTCAATCGTCATTATAAACCCTGAAACTCTTCGCACACTTGCTCCCATTAAAAATGTCAAGGAACGAACAAATCATTCCTCTATTTACCTGTTCAACTTTACTTTTTACATAAAAAACACACAGATAAAGGTTTTAAAAGATGATTTTTTGTAAGCAAAAGAGAAAAGAAAAAAAAAAAAAAACAATAAAACGATTGCTGGTTGACAACACGCACCGAACCCAACAGTTTCCGCACGATCTCCTTCCCAGCGCGATGACCACTACACCACGCCAGAGAATCAACTGAAGTAGTTCGTAAAACAACGTTACTTAAAAAAGTGTTACAGGCATGAACAGGTCATTTCGGTACTGCACTTGAGAACAAGAAAACGGTTTACCAGGCTGCAAATATATATTTTCCGGGATGTAAGGGTTTTAATACTTCAAATCAGTTAAGCGGGAGGGATTCTTACTATTGAATATTGACGTTTACGGTAGTTTTCATTACCCGGGTACCTGATAACCAGTTTCTTGACCAAGGTGCATGTACTGACCACTTCGAATAAAAAGTATTATTTATCTTATCTGATCTGATCTGATCTGATCTTATGGAGTGGCTTTTTTTTGTTTACTTTTTTAAGGCGTCTCTAAGCCGCGGTTCAAGTAACCTTCTGCTTAACAAAAAACGAAATCAGTTTCGGCAAAGGAGAAATAAATACTGTGCTATAGGTGAAGGTGACCTAAGGTCAACATACTAGAGGTGATATTGGTGATGACTTTTCTTTATTTGGTGGCTCCTAAAGGAGCCGGTAGTTGAATAAGTGGGCGAGTTTTACTTGCCACTGACTTTCTTGTTGGCTGATTTTTTAACCGAGGCTTTGCTTTTTTCGCTTTCTTAGGCAACGGCTTCTTTGTGGCAGTCTTCTTTGGCACGAGAGGTGTCTTCTTCTTGCTGCTGGAAACTTTCTTACCCGGCGATTTCTTGGTTTTCTCGGTTGGTTTGCGGGCGGTCTTTTCTTTCGCGGCGACCTTCTTTATTTTTGGTTTGTTGGCTGGATCGGCGGTTTTGGTCTTCTTCGCCAGGTCTTTGGCTGCCTTTGCTTTCTTTACTTCTTTGTTGACCTTGAAAGAACCTGAAGCTCCGGACCCTTTGGTGTTGATAAATTGACCATTCTCCACGCCTCTCTTAAGAGCCATTTTAATAAAATGACTTGCTTTGTCTCCCACTTTGAAATGGTTCTTAACGTACTTGTCGACAGCCTGACGTGAAGAACCATTACGATCTTTCAGGGCGTGAAGGGCTTGTATGATCATTTCTGCATACTTAGGGTGTTCGGCCGGCTGTTTAGAAGCTTTCTTCTGGGTGCTTTTGACAGACATGTCTCGTTATAGTCTCCACAGCGATAGCTAATGTTGGTTACTTGCGCAACTCTTTTTTTAAGTTGTTATAGCGGACCGCAGAGGGATCAGTTACTACTGATCGCGATAGATCTGTTACCTCTAAGATGTTTGCTAAGTTCTTTGAAAATGAGATGGATTGTAAACGTCAACATAGGAAGACAGGCAGAGAGATAGACTGAACGAATAAGGAGTTGTTGGGCGCAATCACTAATTTTTGGTAAGTTTAGGGATACTAGTACTCTACTGTGTCCTTATCGCGAAAAAACTTGTAACGGCGTGGAGTATGAGAATTATTTCTGTCTCCATTTCAGTAAGTAATAATAAAGAAATAAGTAGAGACAAGGTAAGAAGTAGTTTATTGGCCATTAACTTTATTGTCAGGTGGTGGCTCCTAAAGGAGCCGTTTGTAATGTGAGATTGTCAGAACCGAGCTGAGCTGTTATGCACGTTCGCCCCGGATCCTACGAGCCAACTGGATATCTTTAGGCATGATGGTGACACGTTTAGCGTGAATGGCGCAAAGGTTGGTGTCCTCGAAAAGACCGACCAGGTAGGCTTCGCTAGCCTCTTGAAGAGCCAGCACGGCTGAGCTTTGAAAGCGCAAGTCGGTCTTGAAATCCTGAGCGATTTCTCGAACAAGACGCTGAAACGGTAACTTGCGAATCAGCAACTCGGTGGACTTCTGATAACGACGGATCTCTCTGAGGGCCACTGTTCCTGGCCTGTAACGGTGCGGTTTTTTCACGCCACCAGTAGCAGGAGCGCTCTTTCGAGCTGCCTTAGTAGCCAGCTGTTTTACGAGGCTTTTTTCCTCCGGTGGACTTTCTCGCTGTTTGCTTGGTTCGGGCCATGACTGTGAAACTGATGTTCAGAAGATTAAAGGCTCTATGTGAAAGCTGGGCATTTTTATGGCCGCGATTTATCAGGAGGCTGTCGCAAGCCGATTGGATATTTAAGGATTTATGCATTTCTGATTGGTTCGGCTTCGGAGACACCCTGCTTTGATTTGCATGCCTTACAATAGACAGTGGGGCGAAAGAAAATTATAATATTCTTTTGTTGTCCTTTTACTAAGAACAAATCTATGTAAATACAAGAAATAATGTTTCCCGAGAGGTCAGATTGAAGGGTATAGATTGAAAAGTAATTTCTGTTCTGCAGTAATTTAACATAGAGCGAGACCTTTCCTTTTTAAACCTTGACGATAATTCAGACAACCGAGAATGTCCGGTCGCGGCAAAGGAGGTAAAGGCTTGGGCAAAGGTGGTGCTAAGCGTCATCGTAAGATTCTACGCGATAATATCCAAGGAATTACCAAGCCAGCGATCCGTCGTCTCGCTCGCCGTGGGGGGTGTAAAGCGAATTTCTGGACTGATCTACGAGGAGACACGCGGTGTTCTGAAAGTTTTCCTTGAGAACGTTATCCGCGATGCCGTGACCTACACCGAGCACGCCAAGCGTAAGACCGTTACAGCCATGGACGTAGTATACGCTCTGAAACGACAAGGACGTACTCTGTACGGTTTTGGGGGTTAGAATACACTGTAATCCCTGATCAACACTTAAACCAACGGCTCTTTTAGGAGCCAACAAATGTATGAAAAGCTCTGACCAATACGTGATAAGAGAATTTGTTTTCATTACGATCATTGCTGAAGGTTTATATACATATCAACAAGTCAACATACACCTGAAATCGATTCAGCGCTTTATTTACTGGGTGCGTCCACGCCAGTTTTTTTTTTTTTTAGTGACTTTACAGCAGCGCAGTCGTTACTTATACAGGGAAATTATTTTTTTTTTCCCGTCTAGATTAGCCTCATAGCTCTTTGCGGGGCATACAATACTGTAAGCTTTTTTGTCTTTAATTAGTTAGTGAATAAACTGTTGTTGTACGTTGTTGTTGTGGCAGAATTAAGAGAGCAAGCTGGTTTGTGTCGTTACCGACGACGGTTTATAACTGTGTTAGTTTATTTTACGTAAACAGCTTGTGTACCGAAGGAAATCACGACGATCTCTTGTAATTTTTAGGCAAAGAAAACAACATTTCAAGCTCAGTAGTAGCAGCAATGTTTGTTCCCGGTTGGTAGGAATGCGATTAATTGTGTACTCGTTTTAAAAAGAGCAGAAAGTTGTTCGATTGTCGCTTGGTATGTACCTCGAAGTTCGTATAAAAACCTGTTGGAAACAGCGCGAATGAAACCTGCATAGAAAGCAAACGCAATTTCAACTTTCATGATATAATCACATCAGTCTTTAAATTCATGTTACACCGAGCTAAACTGACCTAAGACTGGTTTCAGTTTTCAAGCAATGCTGTGGTTGCTGTTGTTTGTTTCTTACATGCGATAGCCGAAATAGCGCTAAATATGCTTTGGTATACGCATTTATGAACAAAACTAGCAACATGGAACCATGCAAAAACAAATAGAAATAGCGAGTTTCCGCGAGACATAATTATTTGTGGCTAAGTATCGATCGAGTTATTAACCCCAAACTTAGACGGCGAATACTATTTGGGGGGTAGATTACAAATTTATATCGTGATTGGTCATGACTTTATTCTAGACTTGGTGGCTCTAAAAGAGCCGTTTGTATTTATGGTTGTTGCCGTCGCTTAGTGTTGTTTCTTCTCTGTCTTTTTAGGTAGTAATACTGCCTGAATGTTGGGAAGAACACCGCCTTGAGCGATGGTGACACCGGCAAGGAGTTTGTTTAATTCTTCGTCATTTCGCACAGCCAACTGGAGGTGACGAGGAATGATTCTTGACTTCTTGTTGTCGCGTGCTGCGTTTCCTGCTAACTCGAGGATCTCAGCACTCAGATACTCAAGTACGGCAGCCAAGTACACGGGAGCACCGGCTCCGACGCGTTCAGCGTAGTTGCCTTTACGAAGAAGGCGATGGATGCGACCAACAGGAAACTGTAGACCTGCCCTGGAAGAACGAGTCTTTGACTTGGTGCCCTGGGCTTTACCTTTTCCTCGTCCGGTCATTTTGTCGAGTAACTCGTATCTTAAGTTTCAGTTTAAGTTTCAGGAGACTGTTTTCCAAGACATGACTTCGGCCGCCATAATTTATCACGCGCGGACTGCGTTTCGTGGATCAGATTGCACCAATCAAAAGTCTTACATTGGCTCATAAAAAAATTCTAGCCTTGCAATTGTTCTCTTTGTGTCGATTGGCGGCACGCTCCATTGTTTACACCGAGAAAAAAAAAAGACACCAATCACCGACGAGAACTTGCGATCCGCATATTAATTGATCCTATTGAATTTGGCAACATAAATAGAAACTGTGATATCCCGAATTACCAAACTCTATTTCGAAAAGGCAGAGATATCTTTCTTTACCATGGCACCTAAACCGATTGCAGCTAAAAAGGGGAGAGAAGAAGAGCGGCGGTAAGGCAAAATCCACGTCGGGCGACAGTACGAAAAAACGGCGATCGAAACGGAAGGAGAGTTATGCGATCTACATCTACAAAGTGTTGAAGCAGGTACATCCTGACACCGGAATCTCCAGCAAAGCAATGGGTATCATGAACTCTTTCGTGAACGATATCTTTGAGCGCATTGCTACAGAATCCTCCCGTCTAGCCCACTACAACAAGAAGTCCACTATCAGCTCCCGCGAGATTCAGACAGCCATCAGACTGCTCCTTCCAGGAGAACTCGCAAAGCACGCAGTCAGTGAGGGTACCAAGGCCGTCACGAAGTACACTAGTAGCAAGTGAAGTCCATTCTTCAATACCAGATCTAAACAACGGCTCTTTTAGGAGCCACCAAATGTCAAAAAGCAATGATCAACACAGTTTCTTAGAGTTTTCAATCGTCATTATAAACCCTGAAACTCTTCGCACACTTGCTCCCATTAAAAATGTCAAGGAACGAACAAATCATTCCTCTATTTACCCGTTCAACTTTACTTTTTACATAAAAAAACACACAGATAAAGGTTTTAAAAGATGATTTTTATGTAAGCAAAAAAAAGAAAAAAAAAAAAAAAAGAAACAAATAAACGATTGCTGGTTGACAACACGCACCGAACCCAACAGTTTCCGCACGATCTCCTTCCCAGCGCGATGACCACTACACCACGCCAGAGAATCAACTGAAGTAGTTCGTAAAACAACGTTACTAAAAAAGTGTTACAGGCATGAACAGGTCATTTCGGTACTGCACTTGAGAACAAGAAAACGGTTTACCAGGCTGCAAATATATATTTTCCGGGATGTAAGGGTTTTAATACTTCAAATCAGTTAAGCGGGAGGGATTCTTACTATTGAATATGACGTTTACGTAGTTTTCATTACCCGGGTACCTGATAACCAGTTTCTTGACCAAGGTGCATGTACTGACCACTTCGAATAAAAAGTATTTATCTTATCTGATCTGATCTGATCTGATCTTATGGAGTGGCTTTTGTTTACTCTTTTAAGGCGTCTCTAAGCCGCGGTTCAAGTAACCTTCTGCTTAACAAAAACGAAATCAGTTTCGGCAAAGGAGAAATAAATACTGTGCTATAGGTGAAGGTGACCTAAGGTCAACATACTAGAGGTGATATTGGTGATGACTTTTCTTTATTTGGTGGCTCCTAAAGGAGCCGGTAGTTGAATAAGTGGGCGAGTTTTACTTGCCACTGACTTTCTTGTTGGCTGATTTTTTAACCGAGGCTTTGCTTTCTTTCGCTTTCTTAGGCAACGGCTTCTTTGTGGCAGTCTTCTTTGGCACGAGAGGTGTCTTCTTCTTGCTGCTGGAAACTTTCTTACCCGGCGATTTCTTGGTTTTCTCGGCTGGTTTGCGGGCGGTCTTTTCTTTCGCGGCGACCTTCTTTTATTTTTGGTTTGTTGGCTGGATCGGCGGTTTTGGTCTTCTTCGCCAGGTCTTTGGCTGCCTTTGCTTTCTTTACTTCTTTGTTGACCTTGAAAGAACCTGAAGCTCCGGACCCTTTGGTGTTGATAAATTGACCATTCTCCACGCCTCTCTTAAGAGCCATTTTAATAAAATGACTTGCTTTGTCTCCCACTTTGAAATGGTTCTTAACGTACTTGTCGACAGCCTGACGTGAAGAACCATTACGATCTTTCAGGGCGTGAAGGGCTTGTATGATCATTTCTGCATACTTAGGGTGTTCGGCCGGCTGTTTAGAAGCTTTCTTCTGGGTGCTTTTGACAGACATGTCTCGTTATAGTCTCCACAGCGATAGCTAATGTTGGTTACTTGCGCAACTCTTTTCTTAAGTTGTTATAGCGGACCGCAGAGGGATCAGTTACTACTGATCGCGATAGATCTGTTACCTCTAAGATGTTTGCTAAGTTCTTTGAAAATGAGATGGATTGTAAACGTCAACATAGGAAGACAGGCAGAGAGATAGACTGAACGAATAAGGAGTTGTTGGGCGCAATCACTAATTTTTTTGGTAAGCTTAGGGATACTAGTACTCTACTGTGTCCTTATCGCGAAAAACTTGTAACGGCGTGGAGTATGAGAATTATTTCTGTCTCATTTCACTAGTAACTAATAAAGAAATAAGTAGAGACAAGGTAAGAAGTAGTTTATTGGCCATTAACTTTTATTGTCAGGTGGTGGCTCCTAAAGGAGCCGTTTGTAATGTGAGATTGTCAGAACCGAGCTGAGCTGTTATGCACGTTCGCCCCGGATCCTACGAGCCAACTGGATATCTTTAGGCATGATGGTGACACGTTTAGCGTGAATGGCGCAAAGGTTGGTGTCCTCGAAAAGACCGACCAGGTAGGCTTCGCTAGCCTCTTGAAGAGCCAGCACGGCTGAGCTTTGAAAGCGCAAGTCGGTCTTGAAATCCTGAGCGATTTCTCGAACAAGACGCTGAAACGGTAACTTGCGAATCAGCAACTCGGTGGACTTCTGATAACGACGGATCTCTCTGAGGGCCACTGTTCCTGGCCTGTAACGGTGCGGTTTTTTTTCACGCCACCAGTAGCAGGAGCGCTCTTTCGAGCTGCCTTAGTAGCCAGCTGTTTACGAGGCGCTTTTCCTCCGGTGGACTTTCTCGCTGTTTGCTTGGTTCGGGCCATGACTGTGAAACTGATGTTCAGAAGATTAAAGGCTCTATGTGAAAGCTGGGCATTTTTTTTATGGCCGCGATTTATCAGGAGGCTGTCGCAAGCCGATTGGATATTTAAGGATTTATGCATTTCTGATTGGTTCGGCTTCGGAGACACCCTGCTTTGATTTGCATGCCTTACAATAGACAGTGGGGCGAAAGAAAATTATAATATTCTTTTGTTGTCCTTTTACTAAGAACAAATCTATGTAAATACAAGAAATAATGTTTCCCGAGAGGTCAGATTGAAGGGTATAGATTGAAAAGTAATTTCTGTTCTGCAGTAATTTAACATAGAGCGAGACCTTTCCCTTTTTAAACCTTGACGATAATTCAGACAACCGAGAATGTCCGGTCGCGGCAAAGGAGGTAAAGGCTTGGGCAAAGGTGGTGCTAAGCGTCATCGTAAGATTCTACGCGATAATATCAAGGAATTACCAAGCCAGCGATCCGTCGTCTCGCTCGCCGTGGGGTGTAAAGCGAATTTCTGGACTGATCTACGAGGAGACACGCGGTGTTCTGAAAGTTTTCCTTGAGAACGTTATCCGCGATGCCGTGACCTACACCGAGCACGCCAAGCGTAAGACCGTTACAGCCATGGACGTAGTATACGCTCTGAAACGACAAGGACGTACTCTGTACGGTTTTGGGGGTTAGAATACACTGTAATCCCTGATCAACACTTAAACCAACGGCTCTTTTAGGAGCCAACAAAAATATATGAAAAGCTCTGACCAATACGTGATAAGAGAATTTGTTTTCATTACGATCATTGCTGAAGGTTTATATACATATCAACAAGTCAACATACACCTGAAATCGATTCAGCGCTTTATTTACTGGGTGCGTCCACGCCAGTTTTTTCTTTTTAGTGACTTTACAGCAGCGCAGTCGTTACTTATACAGGGAAATTATTTTTTTTTCCCGTCTAGATTAACCCTCATAGCTCTTTGCGGGGCATACAATACTGTAAAGCTTTTGTCTTTAATTAGTTAGTGAATAAACTGTTGTTGTACGTTGTTGTTGTGGCAGAATTAAGAGAGCAAGCTGGTTTGTGTCGTTACCGACGACGGTTTATAACTGTGTTAGTTTATTTTACGTAAACAGCTTGTGTACCGAAGGAAATCACGACGATCTCTTGTAATTTTTAGGCAAAAAAACAACATTTCAAGCTCAGTAGTAGCAGCAATGTTTGTTCCCGGTTGGTAGGAATGCGATTAATTGTGTACTCGTTTAAAAAGAGCAGAAAGTTGTTCGATTGTCGCTTGGTATGTACCTCGAAGTTCGTATAAAAACCTGTTGGAAACAGCGCGAATGAAACCTGCATAGAAAGCAAACGCAATTTCAACTTTCATGATATAATCACATCAGTCTTTAAATTCATGTTACACCGAGCTAAACTGACCTAAGACTGGTTTCAGTTTTCAAGCAATGCTGTGGTTGCTGTTGTTTGTTTCTTACATGCGATAGCCGAAATAGCGCTAAATATGCTTTGGTATACGCATTTATGAACAAAACTAGCAACATGGAACCATGCAAAAACAAATAGAAATAGCGAGTTTCCGCGAGACATAATTATTTGTGGCTAAGTATCGATCGAGTTATTAACCCCAAACTTAGACGGCGAATACTATTTGGGGGGTAGATTACAAATTTATATCGTGATTGGTCATGACTTTATTCTAGACTTGGTGGCTCCTAAAAAAGAGCCGTTTGTATTTATGGTTGTTGCCGTCGCTTAGTGTTGTTTCTTCTCTGTCTTTTTAGGTAGTAATACTGCCTGAATGTTGGGAAGAACACCGCCTTGAGCGATGGTGACACCGGCAAGGAGTTTGTTTAATTCTTCGTCATTTCGCACAGCCAACTGGAGGTGACGAGGAATGATTCTTGACTTCTTGTTGTCGCGTGCTGCGTTTCCTGCTAACTCGAGGATCTCAGCACTCAGATACTCAAGTACGGCAGCCAAGTACACGGGAGCACCGGCTCCGACGCGTTCAGCGTAGTTGCCTTTACGAAGAAGGCGATGGATGCGACCAACAGGAAACTGTAGACCTGCCCTGGAAGAACGAGTCTTTGACTTGGTGCCCTGGGCTTTACCTTTTCCTCGTCCGGTCATTTTGTCGAGTAACTCGTATCTTAAGTTTCAGTTTAAGTTTCAGGAGACTGTTTTCCAAGACATGACTTCGGCCGCCATAATTTATCACGCGCGGACTGCGTTTCGTGGATCAGATTGCACCAATCAAAAGTCTTACATTGGCTCATAAAAGAAATTCTAGCCTTGCAATTGTTCTCTTTGTGTCGATTGGCGGCACGCTCCATTGTTTACACCGAGAAAAAAAAAAAAAGACACCAATCACCGACGAGAACTTGCGATCCGCATATTAATTGATCCTATTGAATTTGGCAACATAAATAGAAACTGTGATATCCCGAATTACCAAACTCTATTTCGAAAAGGCAGAGATATCTTTCTTTACCATGGCACCTAAACCGATTGCAGCTAAAAAGGGAGAGAAGAAGAGCGGCGGTAAGGCAAAATCCACGTCGGGCGACAGTACGAAAAAAAACGGCGATCGAAACGGAAGGAGAGTTATGCGATCTACATCTACAAAGTGTTGAAGCAGGTACATCCTGACACCGGAATCTCCAGCAAAGCAATGGGTATCATGAACTCTTTCGTGAACGATATCTTTGAGCGCATTGCTACAGAATCCTCCGTCTAGCCCACTACAACAAGAAGTCCACTATCAGCTCCCGCGAGATTCAGACAGCCATCAGACTGCTCCTTCCAGGAGAACTCGCAAAGCACGCAGTCAGTGAGGGTACCAAGGCCGTCACGAAGTACACTAGTAGCAAGTGAAGTCCATTCTTCAATACCAGATCTAAACAACGGCTCTTTTAGGAGCCACCAAATGTCAAAAAAAAAAAGCAATGATCAACACAGTTTCTTAGAGTTTTCAATCGTCATTATAAACCCTGAAACTCTTCGCACACTTGCTCCCATTAAAAAATGTCAAGGAACGAACAAATCATTCCTCTATTTACCCGTTCAACTTTACTTTTTACAAAAAACACACAGATAAAGGTTTTAAAAGATGATTTTTATGTAAGCAAAAAAAAAAAAAAAAAAAAAAAGAAACAAATAAACGATTGCTGGTTGACAACACGCACCGAACCCAACAGTTTCCGCACGATCTCCTTCCCAGCGCGATGACCACTACACCACGCCAGAGAATCAACTGAAGTAGTTCGTAAAACAACGTTACTTAAAAGTGTTACAGGCATGAACAGGTCATTTCGGTACTGCACTTGAGAACAAGAAAACGGTTTACCAGGCTGCAAATATATATTTTCCGGGATGTAAGGGTTTTAATACTTCAAATCAGTTAAGCGGGAGGGATTCTTACTATTGAATATTGACGTTTACGGTAGTTTTCATTACCCGGGTACCTGATAACCAGTTTCTTGACCAAGGTGCATGTACTGACCACTTCGAATAAAAAGTATTTATCTTATCTGATCTGATCTGATCTGATCTTATGGAGTGGCTTTTGTTTTACTCTTTTAAGGCGTCTCTAAGCCGCGGTTCAAGTAACCTTCTGCTTAACAAAAACGAAATCAGTTTCGGCAAAGGAGAAATAAATACTGTGCTATAGGTGAAGGTGACCTAAGGTCAACATACTAGAGGTGATATTGGTGATGACTTTTTTCTTTTTTTGGTGGCTCCTAAAGGGGCCGGTAGTTGAATAAGTGGGCGAGTTTTACTTGCCACTGACTTTCTTGTTGGCTGATTTTTTAACCGAGGCTTTGCTTTCTTTCGCTTTCTTAGGAAACGGCTTCTTTTTGGCAGTCTTCTTTGGCACGAGAGGTGTCTTCTTCTTGCTGCTGGAAACTTTCTTACCCGGCGATTTCTTGGTTTTCTCGGCTGGTTTGCGGGCGGTCTTTTCTTTCGCGGCGACCTTCTTTATTTTTGGTTTGTTGGCTGGATCGGCGGTTTTGGTCTTCTTCGCCAGGTCTTTGGCTGCCTTTGCTTTCTTTACTTCTTTGTTGACCTTGAAAGAACCTGAAGCTCCGGACCCTTTGGTGTTGATAAATTGACCATTCTCCACGCCTCTCTTAAGAGCCATTTTAATAAAATGACTTGCTTTGTCTCCCACTTTGAAATGGTTCTTAACGTACTTGTCGACAGCCTGACGTGAAGAACCATTACGATCTTTCAGGGCGTGAAGGGCTTGTATGATCATTTCTGCATACTTAGGGTGTTCGGCCGGCTGTTTAGAAGCTTTCTTCTGGGTGCTTTTGACAGACATGTCTCGTTATAGTCTCCACAGCGATAGCTAATGTTGGTTACTTGCGCAACTCTTTTCTTAAGTTGTTATAGCGGACCGCAGAGGGATCAGTTACTACTGATCGCGATAGATCTATTACCTCTAAGATGTTTGCTAAGTTCTTTGAAAATGAGATGGATTGTAAACGTCAACATAGGAAGACAGGCAGAGAGATAGACTGAACGAATAAGGAGTTGTTGGGCGCAATCACTAATTTTTTGGTAAGCTTAGGGATACTAGTACTCTACTGTGTCCTTATCGCGAAAAAACTTGTAACGGCGTGGAGTATGAGAATTATTTCTGTCTCATTTCACTAGTAACTAATAAAGAAATAAGTAGAGACAAGGTAAGAAGTAGTTTATTGGCCATTAACTTTTATTGTCAGGTGGTGGCTCCTAAAGGAGCCGTTTGTAATGTGAGATTGTCAGAACCGAGCTGAGCTGTTATGCACGTTCGCCCCGGATCCTACGAGCCAACTGGATATCTTTAGGCATGATGGTGACACGTTTAGCGTGAATGGCGCAAAGGTTGGTGTCCTCGAAAAGACCGACCAGGTAGGCTTCGCTAGCCTCTTGAAGAGCCAGCACGGCTGAGCTTTGAAAGCGCAAGTCGGTCTTGAAATCCTGAGCGATTTCTCGAACAAGACGCTGAAACGGTAACTTGCGAATCAGCAACTCGGTGGACTTCTGATAACGACGGATCTCTCTGAGGGCCACTGTTCCTGGCCTGTAACGGTGCGGTTTTTCACGCCACCAGTAGCAGGAGCGCTCTTTCGAGCTGCCTTAGTAGCCAGCTGTTTACGAGGCGCTTTTCCTCCGGTGGACTTTCTCGCTGTTTGCTTGGTTCGGGCCATGACTGTGAAACTGATGTTCAGAAGATTAAAGGCTCTATGTGAAAGCTGGGCAATTTTATGGCCGCGATTTATCAGGAGGCTGTCGCAAGCCGATTGGATATTTAAGGATTTATGCATTTCTGATTGGTTCGGCTTCGGAGACACCCTGCTTTGATTTGCATGCCTTACAATAGACAGTGGGGCGAAAAGAAAATTATAATATTCTTTTGTTGTCCTTTTACTAAGAACAAATCTATGTAAATACAAAAATAATGTTTCCCGAGAGGTCAGATTGAAGGGTATAGATTGAAAAGTAATTTCTGTTCTGCAGTAATTTAACATAGAGCGAGACCTTTCCTTTTTAAACCTTGACGATAATTCAGACAACCGAGAATGTCCGGTCGCGGCAAAGGAGGTAAAGGCTTGGGCAAAGGTGGTGCTAAGCGTCATCGTAAGATTCTACGCGATAATATCAAGGAATTACCAAGCCAGCGATCCGTCGTCTCGCTCGCCGTGGGGTGTAAAGCGAATTTCTGGACTGATCTACGAGGAGACACGCGGTGTTCTGAAAGTTTTCCTTGAGAACGTTATCCGCGATGCCGTGACGTGACCACCGAGCACGCCAAGCGTAAGACCGTTACAGCCATGGACGTAGTATACGCTCTGAAACGACAAGGACGTACTCTGTACGGTTTTGGGGGTTAGAATACACTGTAATCCCTGATCAACACTTAAACCAACGGCTCTTTTAGGAGCCAACAAATGTATGAAAAGCTCTGACCAATACGTGATAAGAGAATTTGTTTTCATTACGATCATTGCTGAAGGTTTATATACATATCAACAAGTCAACATACACCTGAAATCGATTCAGCGCTTTATTTACTGGGTGCGTCCACGCCAGTTTTTTCTTCTTTTTAGTGACTTTACAGCAGCGCAGTCGTTACTTATACAGGGAAATTATTTTTTTTCCCGTCTAGATTAGCCTCATAGCTCTTTGCGGGGCATACAATACTGTAAAGCTTTTGTCTTTAATTAGTTAGTGAATAAACTGTTGTTGTACGTTGTTGTTGTGGCAGAATTAAGAGAGCAAGCTGGTTTGTGTCGTTACCGACGACGGTTTATAACTGTGTTAGTTTATTTTACGTAAACAGCTTGTGTACCGAAGGAAATCACGACGATCTCTTGTAATTTTTAGGCAAAGAAAACAACATTTCAAGCTCAGTAGTAGCAGCAATGTTTGTTCCCGGTTGGTAGGAATGCGATTAATTGTGTACTCGTTTAAAAAGAGCAGAAAGTTGTTCGATTGTCGCTTGGTATGTACCTCGAAGTTCGTATAAAAACCTGTTGGAAACAGCGCGAATGAAACCTGCATAGAAAGCAAACGCAATTTCAACTTTCATGATATAATCACATCAGTCTTTAAATTCATGTTACACCGAGCTAAACTGACCTAAGACTGGTTTCAGTTTTCAAGCAATGCTGTGGTTGCTGTTGTTTGTTTCTTACATGCGATAGCCGAAATAGCGCTAAATATGCTTTGGTATACGCATTTATGAACAAAACTAGCAACATGGAACCATCAAAAAAAACAAATAGAAATAGCGAGTTTCCGCGAGACATAATTATTTGTGGCTAAGTATCGATCGAGTTATTAACCCCAAACTTAGACGGCGAATACTATTTGGGGGTAGATTACAAATTTATATCGTGATTGGTCATGACTTTATTCTAGACTTGGTGGCTCCTAAAAAGAGCCGTTTGTATTTATGGTTGTTGCCGTCGCTTAGTGTTGTTTCTTCTCTGTCTTTTTAGGTAGTAATACTGCCTGAATGTTGGGAAGAACACCGCCTTGAGCGATGGTGACACCGGCAAGGAGTTTGTTTAATTCTTCGTCATTTCGCACAGCCAACTGGAGGTGACGAGGAATGATTCTTGACTTCTTGTTGTCGCGTGCTGCGTTTCCTGCTAACTCGAGGATCTCAGCACTCAGATACTCAAGTACGGCAGCCAAGTACACGGGAGCACCGGCTCCGACGCGTTCAGCGTAGTTGCCTTTACGAAGAAGGCGATGGATGCGACCAACAGGAAACTGTAGACCTGCCCTGGAAGAACGAGTCTTTGACTTGGTGCCCTGGGCTTTACCTTTTCCTCGTCCGGTCATTTTGTCGAGTAACTCGTATCTTAAGTTTCAGTTTAAGTTTCAGGAGACTGTTTTCCAAGACATGACTTCGGCCGCCATAATTTATCACGCGCGGACTGCGTTTCGTGGATCAGATTGCACCAATCAAAAGTCTTACATTGGCTCATAAAAGAAATTCTAGCCTTGCAATTGTTCTCTTTGTGTCGATTGGCGGCACGCTCCATTGTTTACACCGAGAAAAAAAAAAAGACACCAATCACCGACGAGAACTTGCGATCCGCATATTAATTGATCCTATTGAATTTGGCAACATAAATAGAAACTGTGATATCCCGAATTACCAAACTCTATTTCGAAAAAAGGCAGAGATATCTTTCTTTACCATGGCACCTAAACCGATTGCAGCTAAAAGGGAGAGAAGAAGAGCGGCGGTAAGGCAAAATCCACGTCGGGCGACAGTACGAAAAAACGGCGATCGAAACGGAAGGAGAGTTATGCGATCTACATCTACAAAGTGTTGAAGCAGGTACATCCTGACACCGGAATCTCCAGCAAAGCAATGGGTATCATGAACTCTTTCGTGAACGATATCTTTGAGCGCATTGCTACAGAATCCTCCCGTCTAGCCCACTACAACAAAAGTCCACTATCAGCTCCCGCGAGATTCAGACAGCCATCAGACTGCTCCTTCCAGGAGAACTCGCAAAAAGCACGCAGTCAGTGAGGGTACCAAGGCCGTCACGAAGTACACTAGTAGCAAGTGAAGTCCATTCTTCAATACCAGATCTAAACAACGGCTCTTTTTAGGAGCCACCAAATGTCAAAAAAAAAGCAATGATCAACACAGTTTCTTAGAGTTTTCAATCGTCATTATAAACCCTGAAACTCTTCGCACACTTGCTCCCATTAAAAATGTCAAGGAACGAACAAATCATTCCTCTATTTACCCGTTCAACTTTACTTTTTACATAAAAAAACACACAGATAAAGGTTTTAAAAAGATTTTTTTTATGTAAGCAAAAAAAAAAAAAAAAAAAAAAAAACAAATAAACGATTGCTGGTTGACAACACGCACCGAACCCAACAGTTTCCGCACGATCTCCTTCCCAGCGCGATGACCACTACACCACGCCAGAGAATCAACTGAAGTAGTTCGTAAAACAACGTTACTTAAAAGTGTTACAGGCATGAACAGGTCATTTCGGTACTGCGCTTGAGAACAAGAAAACGGTTTACCAGGCTGCAAATATATATTTTCCGGGATGTAAGGGTTTTAATACTTCAAATCAGTTAAGCGGGAGGGATTCTTACTATTGAATATTGACGTTTACGGTAGTTTTCATTACCCGGGTACCTGATAACCAGTTTCTTGACCAAGGTGCATGTACTGACCACTTCGAATAAAAAGTATTTATCTTATCTGATCTGATCTGATCTGATCTTATGGAGTGGCTTTTGTTTACTCTTTTAAGGCGTCTCTAAGCCGCGGTTCAAGTAACCTTCTGCTTAACAAAAACGAAATCAGTTTCGGCAAAGGAGAAATAAATACTGTGCTATAGGTGAAGGTGACCTAAGGTCAACATACTAGAGGTGATATTGGTGATGACTTTTCTTTATTTGGTGGCTCTAAAGGGCCGGTAGTTGAATAAGTGGGCGAGTTTTACTTGCCACTGACTTTCTTGTTGGCTGATTTTTTAACCGAGGCTTTGCTTTCTTTCGCTTTCTTAGGCAACGGCTTCTTTGTGGCAGTCTTCTTTGGCACGAGAGGTGTCTTCTTCTTGCTGCTGGAAACTTTCTTACCCGGCGATTTCTTGGTTTTCTCGGCTGGTTTGCGGGCGGTCTTTTCTTTCGCGGCGACCTTCTTTATTTTTTGGTTTGTTGGCTGGATCGGCGGTTTTGGTCTTCTTCGCCAGGTCTTTGGCTGCCTTTGCTTTCTTTACTTCTTTGTTGACCTTGAAAGAACCTGAAGCTCCGGACCCTTTGGTGTTGATAAATTGACCATTCTCCACGCCTCTCTTAAGAGCCATTTTAATAAAATGACTTGCTTTGTCTCCCACTTTGAAATGGTTCTTAACGTACTTGTCGACAGCCTGACGTGAAGAACCATTACGATCTTTCAGGGCGTGAAGGGCTTGTATGATCATTTCTGCATACTTAGGGTGTTCGGCCGGCTGTTTAGAAGCTTTCTTCTGGGTGCTTTTGACAGACATGTCTCGTTATAGTCTCCACAGCGATAGCTAATGTTGGTTACTTGCGCAACTCTTTTCTTAAGTTGTTATAGCGGACCGCAGAGGGATCAGTTACTACTGATCGCGATAGATCTATTACCTCTAAGATGTTTGCTAAGTTCTTTGAAAATGAGATGGATTGTAAACGTCAACATAGGAAGACAGGCAGAGATAGACTGAACGAATAAGGGGTTGTTGGGCGCAATCACTAATTTTTTGGTTAGCTTAGGGATACTAGTACTCTACTGTGTCCTTATCGCGAAAAACTTGTAACGGCGTGGAGTATGAGAATTATTTCTGTCTCATTTCACTAGTAACTAATAAAAAATAAGTAGAGACAAGGTAAGAAGTAGTTTATTGGCCATTAACTTTTATTGTCAGGTGGTGGCTCCTAAAGGAGCCGTTTGTAATGTGAGATTGTCAGAACCGAGCTGAGCTGTTATGCACGTTCGCCCCGGATCCTACGAGCCAACTGGATATCTTTAGGCATGATGGTGACACGTTTAGCGTGAATGGCGCAAAGGTTGGTGTCCTCGAAAAGACCGACCAGGTAGGCTTCGCTAGCCTCTTGAAGAGCCAGCACGGCTGAGCTTTGAAAGCGCAAGTCGGTCTTGAAATCCTGAGCGATTTCTCGAACAAGACGCTGAAACGGTAACTTGCGAATCAGCAACTCGGTGGACTTCTGATAACGACGGATCTCTCTGAGGGGCCACTGTTCCTGGCCTGTAACGGTGCGGTTTTTCACGCCACCAGTAGCAGGAGCGCTCTTTCGAGCTGCCTTAGTAGCCAGCTGTTTACGAGGCGCTTTTCCTCCGGTGGACTTTCTCGCTGTTTGCTTGGTTCGGGCCATGACTGTGAAACTGATGTTCAGAAGATTAAAGGCTCTATGTGAAAGCTGGGCAATTTTATGGCCGCGATTTATCAGGAGGCTGTCGCAAGCCGATTGGATATTTAAGGATTTATGCATTTCTGATTGGTTCGGCTTCGGAGACACCCTGCTTTGATTTGCATGCCTTACAATAGACAGTGGGGCGAAAAGAAAATTATAATATTCTTTTGTTGTCCTTTTACTAAGAACAAATCTATGTAAATACAAAAATAATGTTTCCCGAGAGGTCAGATTGAAGGGTATAGATTGAAAAGTAATTTCTGTTCTGCAGTAATTTAACATAGAGCGAGACCTTTCCTTTTTAAACCTTGACGATAATTCAGACAACCGAGAATGTCCGGTCGCGGCAAAGGAGGTAAAGGCTTGGGCAAAGGTGGTGCTAAGCGTCATCGTAAGATTCTACGCGATAATATCAAGGAATTACCAAGCCAGCGATCCGTCGTCTCGCTCGCCGTGGGGTGTAAAGCGAATTTCTGGACTGATCTACGAGGAGACACGCGGTGTTCTGAAAGTTTTCCTTGAGAACGTTATCCGCGATGCCGTGACCTACACCGAGCACGCCAAGCGTAAGACCGTTACAGCCATGGACGTAGTATACGCTCTGAAACGACAAGGACGTACTCTGTACGGTTTTGGGGGTTAGAATACACTGTAATCCCTGATCAACACTTAAACCAACGGCTCTTTTAGGAGCCAACAAATGTATGAAAAGCTCTGACCAATACGTGATAAGAGAATTTGTTTTCATTACGATCATTGCTGAAGGTTTATATACATATCAACAAGTCAACATACACCTGAAATCGATTCAGCGCTTTATTTACTGGGTGCGTCCACGCCAGTTTTTCTTTTTAGTGACTTTACAGCAGCGCAGTCGTTACTTATACAGGGAAATTTTTTTTTCCCGTCTAGATTAACCTCATAGCTCTTTGCGGGGCATACAATACTGTAAAGCTTTTGTCTTTAATTAGTTAGTGAATAAACTGTTGTTGTACGTTGTTGTTGTGGCAGAATTAAGAGAGCAAGCTGGTTTGTGTCGTTACCGACGACGGTTTATAACTGTGTTAGTTTATTTTACGTAAACAGCTTGTGTACCGAAGGAAATCACGACGATCTCTTGTAATTTTTAGGCAAAGAAAACAACATTTCAAGCTCAGTAGTAGCAGCAATGTTTGTTCCCGGTTGGTAGGAATGCGATTAATTGTGTACTCGTTTAAAAAGAGCAGAAAGTTGTTCGATTGTCGCTTGGTATGTACCTCGAAGTTCGTATAAAAACCTGTTGGAAACAGCGCGAATGAAACCTGCATAGAAAGCAAACGCAATTTCAACTTTCATGATATAATCACATCAGTCTTTAAATTCATGTTACACCGAGCTAAACTGACCTAAGACTGGTTTCAGTTTTTCAAGCAATGCTGTGGTTGCTGTTGTTTGTTTCTTACATGCGATAGCCGAAATAGCGCTAAATATGCTTTGGTATACGCATTTATGAACAAAACTAGCAACATGGAACCATGCAAAAACAAATAGAAATAGCGAGTTTCCGCGAGACATAATTATTTGTGGCTAAGTATCGATCGAGTTATTAACCCCAAACTTAGACGGCGAATACTATTTGGGGGGTAGATTACAAATTTATATCGTGATTGGTCATGACTTTATTCTAGACTTGGTGGCTCCTAAAAGAGCCGTTTGTATTTATGGTTGTTGCCGTCGCTTAGTGTTGTTTCTTCTCTCTCTTTTTAGGTAGTAATACTGCCTGAATGTTGGGAAGAACACCGCCTTGAGCGATGGTGACACCGGCAAGGAGTTTGTTTAATTCTTCGTCATTTCGCACAGCCAACTGGAGGTGACGAGGAATGATTCTTGACTTCTTGTTGTCGCGTGCTGCGTTTCCTGCTAACTCGAGGATCTCAGCACTCAGATACTCAAGTACGGCAGCCAAGTACACGGGAGCACCGGCTCCGACGCGTTCAGCGTAGTTGCCTTTACGAAGAAGGCGATGGATGCGACCAACAGGAAACTGTAGACCTGCCCTGGAAGAACGAGTCTTTGACTTGGTGCCCTGGGCTTTACCTTTTCCTCGTCCGGTCATTTTGTCGAGTAACTCGTATCTTAAGTTTCAGTTTAAGTTTCAGGAGACTGTTTTCCAAGACATGACTTCGGCCGCCATAATTTATCACGCGCGGACTGCGTTTCGTGGATCAGATTGCACCAATCAAAAGTCTTACATTGGCTCATAAAAGAAATTCTAGCCTTGCAATTGTTCTCTTTGTGTCGATTGGCGGCACGCTCCATTGTTTACACCGAGAAAAAAAAGACACCAATCACCGACGAGAACTTGCGATCCGCATATTAATTGATCCTATTGAATTTGGCAACATAAATAGAAACTGTGATATCCCGAATTACCAAACTCTATTTCGAAAAGGCAGAGATATCTTTCTTTACCATGGCACCTAAACCGATTGCAGCTAAAAAAGGGAGAGAAGAAGAGCGGCGGTAAGGCAAAATCCACGTCGGGCGACAGTACGAAAAAACGGCGATCGAAACGGAAGGAGAGTTATGCGATCTACATCTACAAAGTGTTGAAGCAGGTACATCCTGACACCGGAATCTCCAGCAAAGCAATGGGTATCATGAACTCTTTCGTGAACGATATCTTTGAGCGCATTGCTACAGAATCCTCCCGTCTAGCCCACAACAACAAAAGTCCACTATCAGCTCCCGCGAGATTCAGACAGCCATCAGACTGCTCCTTCCAGGAGAACTCGCAAAGCACGCAGTCAGTGAGGGTACCAAAAGCCGTCACGAAGTACACTAGTAGCAAGTGAAGTCCATTCTTCAATACCAGATCTAAACAACGGCTCTTTTAGGAGCCACCAAATGTCAAAAAAAGCAATGATCAACACAGTTTCTTAGAGTTTTCAATCGTCATTATAAACCCTGAAACTCTTCGCACACTTGCTCCCATTAAAAATGTCAAGGAACGAACAAATCATTCCTCTATTTACCCGTTCAACTTTACTTTTTACATAAAAAACACACAGATAAAGGTTTTAAAAGATTTTTTTTTATGTAAAAAAAAAAAAAAAAAAAAAAAAAAAACAAATAAACGATTGCTGGTTGACAACACGCACCGAACCCAACAGTTTCCGCACGATCTCCTTCCCAGCGCGATGACCACTACACCACGCCAGAGAATCAACTGAAGTAGTTCGTAAAACAACGTTACTTAAAAAGTGTTACAGGCATGAACAGGTCATTTCGGTACTGCGCTTGAGAACAAGAAAACGGTTTACCAGGCTGCAAATATATATTTTCCGGGATGTAAGGGTTTTAATACTTCAAATCAGTTAAGCGGGAGGGATTCTTACTATTGAATATTGACGTTTACGGTAGTTTTCATTACCCGGGTACCTGATAACCAGTTTCTTGACCAAGGTGCATGTACTGACCACTTCGAATAAAAAGTATTTATCTTATCTGATCTGATCTGATCTGATCTTATGGAGTGGCTTTTGTTTACTCTTTTAAGGCGTCTCTAAGCCGCGGTTCAAGTAACCTTCTGCTTAACAAAAAAACGAAATCAGTTTCGGCAAAGGAGAAATAAATACTGTGCTATAGGTGAAGGTGACCTAAGGTCAACATACTAGAGGTGATATTGGTGATGACTTTTCTTTATTTGGTGGCTCCTAAAGGGGCCGGTAGTTGAATAAGTGGGCGAGTTTTACTTGCCACTGACTTTCTTGTTGGCTGATTTTTTAACCGAGGCTTTGCTTTCTTTCGCTTTCTTAGGCAACGGCTTCTTCTTTGGCAGTCTTCTTTGGCACGAGAGGTGTCTTCTTCTTGCTGCTGGAAACTTTCTTACCCGGCGATTTCTTGGTTTTTTCTCGGCTGGTTTGCGGGCGGTCTTTTCTTTCGCGGCGACCTTCTTTATTTTTGGTTTGTTGGCTGGATCGGCGGTTTTGGTCTTCTTCGCCAGGTCTTTGGCTGCCTTTGCTTTCTTTACTTCTTTGTTGACCTTGAAAGAACCTGAAGCTCCGGACCCTTTGGTGTTGATAAATTGACCATTCTCCACGCCTCTCTTAAGAGCCATTTTAATAAAATGACTTGCTTTGTCTCCCACTTTGAAATGGTTCTTAACGTACTTGTCGACAGCCTGACGTGAAGAACCATTACGATCTTTCAGGGCGTGAAGGGCTTGTATGATCATTTCTGCATACTTAGGGTGTTCGGCCGGCTGTTTAGAAGCTTTCTTCTGGGTGCTTTTGACAGACATGTCTCGTTATAGTCTCCACAGCGATAGCTAATGTTGGTTACTTGCGCAACTCTTTTCTTAAGTTGTTATAGCGGACCGCAGAGGGATCAGTTACTACTGATCGCGATAGATCTATTACCTCTAAGATGTTTGCTAAGTTCTTTGAAAATGAGATGGATTGTAAACGTCAACATAGGAAGACAGGCAGAGAGATAGACTGAACGAATAAGGAGTTGTTGGGCGCAATCACTAATTTTTGGTAAGCTTAGGGATACTAGTACTCTACTGTGTCCTTATCGCGAAAAACTTGTAACGGCGTGGAGTATGAGAATTATTTCTGTCTCATTTCACTAGTAACTAATAAAGAAATAAGTAGAGACAAGGTAAGAAGTAGTTTATTGGCCATTAACTTTTATTGTCAGGTGGTGGCTCCTAAAGGAGCCGTTTGTAATGTGAGATTGTCAGAACCGAGCTGAGCTGTTATGCACGTTCGCCCCGGATCCTACGAGCCAACTGGATATCTTTAGGCATGATGGTGACACGTTTAGCGTGAATGGCGCAAAGGTTGGTGTCCTCGAAAAGACCGACCAGGTAGGCTTCGCTAGCCTCTTGAAGAGCCAGCACGGCTGAGCTTTGAAAGCGCAAGTCGGTCTTGAAATCCTGAGCGATTTCTCGAACAAGACGCTGAAACGGTAACTTGCGAATCAGCAACTCGGTGGACTTCTGATAACGACGGATCTCTCTGAGGGCCACTGTTCCTGGCCTGTAACGGTGCGGTTTTTCACGCCACCAGTAGCAGGAGCGCTCTTTCGAGCTGCCTTAGTAGCCAGCTGTTTACGAGGCGCTTTTCCTCCGGTGGACTTTCTCGCTGTTTGCTTGGTTCGGGCCATGACTGTGAAACTGATGTTCAGAAGATTAAAGGCTCTATGTGAAAGCTGGGCAATTTTATGGCCGCGATTTATCAGGAGGCTGTCGCAAGCCGATTGGATATTTAAGGATTTATGCATTTCTGATTGGTTCGGCTTCGGAGACACCCTGCTTTGATTTGCATGCCTTACAATAGACAGTGGGGCGAAAAGAAAATTATAATATTCTTTTGTTGTCCTTTTACTAAGAACAAATCTATGTAAATACAAAAAATAATGTTTCCCGAGAGGTCAGATTGAAGGGTATAGATTGAAAAGTAATTTCTGTTCTGCAGTAATTTAACATAGAGCGAGACCTTTCCCTTTTTAAACCTTGACGATAATTCAGACAACCGAGAATGTCCGGTCGCGGCAAAGGAGGTAAAGGCTTGGGCAAAGGTGGTGCTAAGCGTCATCGTAAGATTCTACGCGATAATATCAAGGAATTACCAAGCCAGCGATCCGTCGTCTCGCTCGCCGTGGGGGTGTAAAGCGAATTTCTGGACTGATCTACGAGGAGACACGCGGTGTTCTGAAAGTTTTCCTTGAGAACGTTATCCGCGATGCCGTGACCTACACCGAGCACGCCAAGCGTAAGACCGTTACAGCCATGGACGTAGTATACGCTCTGAAACGACAAGGACGTACTCTGTACGGTTTTGGGGGTTAGAATACACTGTAATCCCTGATCAACACTTAAACCAACGGCTCTTTTAGGAGCCAACAAATGTATGAAAAGCTCTGACCAATACGTGATAAGAGAATTTGTTTTCATTACGATCATTGCTGAAGGTTTATATACATATCAACAAGTCAACATACACCTGAAATCGATTCAGCGCTTTTATTTACTGGGTGCGTCCACGCCAGTTTTTTTCTTTTTAGTGACTTTACAGCAGCGCAGTCGTTACTTATACAGGGAAATTATTTTTTCCCGTCTAGATTAACCTCATAGCTCTTTGCGGGGCATACAATACTGTAAAGCTTTTGTCTTTAATTAGTTAGTGAATAAACTGTTGTTGTACGTTGTTGTTGTGGCAGAATTAAGAGAGCAAGCTGGTTTGTGTCGTTACCGACGACGGTTTATAACTGTGTTAGTTTATTTTACGTAAACAGCTTGTGTACCGAAGGAAATCACGACGATCTCTTGTAATTTTTAGGCAAAGAAAACAACATTTCAAGCTCAGTAGTAGCAGCAATGTTTGTTCCCGGTTGGTAGGAATGCGATTAATTGTGTACTCGTTTAAAAAGAGCAGAAAGTTGTTCGATTGTCGCTTGGTATGTACCTCGAAGTTCGTATAAAAACCTGTTGGAAACAGCGCGAATGAAACCTGCATAGAAAGCAAACGCAATTTCAACTTTCATGATATAATCACATCAGTCTTTAAATTCATGTTACACCGAGCTAAACTGACCTAAGACTGGTTTCAGTTTTCAAGCAATGCTGTGGTTGCTGTTGTTTGTTTCTTACATGCGATAGCCGAAATAGCGCTAAATATGCTTTGGTATACGCATTTATGAACAAAACTAGCAACATGGAACCATGCAAAAACAAATAGAAATAGCGAGTTTCCGCGAGACATAATTATTTGTGGCTAAGTATCGATCGAGTTATTAACCCCAAACTTAGACGGCGAATACTATTTGGGGGGTAGATTACAAATTTATATCGTGATTGGTCATGACTTTATTCTAGACTTGGTGGCTCCTAAAAGAGCCGTTTGTATTTATGGTTGTTGCCGTCGCTTAGTGTTGTTTCTTCTCTGTCTTTTTAGGTAGTAATACTGCCTGAATGTTGGGAAGAACACCGCCTTGAGCGATGGTGACACCGGCAAGGAGTTTGTTTAATTCTTCGTCATTTCGCACAGCCAACTGGAGGTGACGAGGAATGATTCTTGACTTCTTGTTGTCGCGTGCTGCGTTTCCTGCTAACTCGAGGATCTCAGCACTCAGATACTCAAGTACGGCAGCCAAGTACACGGGAGCACCGGCTCCGACGCGTTCAGCGTAGTTGCCTTTACGAAGAAGGCGATGGATGCGACCAACAGGAAACTGTAGACCTGCCCTGGAAGAACGAGTCTTTGACTTGGTGCCCTGGGCTTTACCTTTTCCTCGTCCGGTCATTTTGTCGAGTAACTCGTATCTTAAGTTTCAGTTTAAGTTTCAGGAGACTGTTTTCCAAGACATGACTTCGGCCGCCATAATTTATCACGCGCGGACTGCGTTTCGTGGATCAGATTGCACCAATCAAAAGTCTTACATTGGCTCATAAAAGAAATTCTAGCCTTGCAATTGTTCTCTTTGTGTCGATTGGCGGCACGCTCCATTGTTTACACCGAGAAAAAAAAGACACCAATCACCGACGAGAACTTGCGATCCGCATATTAATTGATCCTATTGAATTTGGCAACATAAATAGAAACTGTGATATCCCGAATTACCAAACTCTATTTCGAAAAGGCAGAGATATCTTTCTTTACCATGGCACCTAAACCGATTGCAGCTAAAAGGGGGAGAAGAAGAGCGGCGGTAAGGCAAAATCCACGTCGGGCGACAGTACGAAAAAACGGCGATCGAAACGGAAGGAGAGTTATGCGATCTACATCTACAAAGTGTTGAAGCAGGTACATCCTGACACCGGAATCTCCAAAAGCAATGGGTATCATGAACTCTTTCGTGAACGATATCTTTGAGCGCATTGCTACAGAATCCTCCCGTCTAGCCCACAACAAGAAGTCCACTATCAGCTCCCGCGAGATTCAGACAGCCATCAGACTGCTCCTTCCAGGAGAACTCGCAAAGCACGCAGTCAGTGAGGGTACCAAGGCCGTCACGAAGTACACTAGTAGCAAGTGAAGTCCATTCTTCAATACCAGATCTAAACAACGGCTCTTTTAGGAGCCACCAAATGTCAAAAAAAGCAATGATCAACACAGTTTCTTAGAGTTTTCAATCGTCATTATAAACCCTGAAACTCTTCGCACACTTGCTCCCATTAAAAAATGTCAAGGAACGAACAAATCATTCCTCTATTTACCCGTTCAACTTTACTTTTTACATAAAAAACACACAGATAAAGGTTTTAAAAGATGATTTTTATGTAAGCAAAGAGAAAAGAAGAAAAAAAAAAGAAACAAATAAACGATTGCTGGTTGACAACACGCACCGAACCCAACAGTTTCCGCACGATCTCCTTCCCAGCGCGATGACCACTACACCACGCCAGAGAATCAACTGAAGTAGTTCGTAAAACAACGTTACTTAAAAGTGTTACAGGCATGAACAGGTCATTTCGGTACTGCACTTGAGAACAAGAAAACGGTTTACCAGGCTGCAAATATATATTTTCCGGGATGTAAGGGTTTTAATACTTCAAATCAGTTAAGCGGGAGGGATTCTTACTATTGAATATTGACGTTTACGGTAGTTTTCATTACCCGGGTACCTGATAACCAGTTTCTTGACCAAGGTGCATGTACTGACCACTTCGAATAAAAAGTATTTATCTTATCTGATCTGATCTGATCTGATCTTATGGAGTGGCTTTTGTTTACTCTTTTAAGGCGTCTCTAAGCCGCGGTTCAAGTAACCTTCTGCTTAACAAAAACGAAATCAGTTTCGGCAAAGGAGAAATAAATACTGTGCTATAGGTGAAGGTGACCTAAGGTCAACATACTAGAGGTGATATTGGTGATGACTTTTCTTTATTTGGTGGCTCCTAAAGGGGCCGGTAGTTGAATAAGTGGGCGAGTTTTACTTGCCACTGACTTTCTTGTTGGCTGATTTTTTAACCGAGGCTTTGCTTTCTTTCGCTTTCTTAGGCAACGGCTTCTTTGTGGCAGTCTTCTTTGGCACGAGAGGTGTCTTCTTCTTGCTGCTGGAAACTTTCTTACCCGGCGATTTCTTGGTTTTCTCGGCTGGTTTGCGGGCGGTCTTTTCTTTCGCGGCGACCTTCTTTATTTTTGGTTTGTTGGCTGGATCGGCGGTTTTGGTCTTCTTCGCCAGGTCTTTGGCTGCCTTTGCTTTCTTTACTTCTTTGTTGACCTTGAAAGAACCTGAAGCTCCGGACCCTTTGGTGTTGATAAATTGACCATTCTCCACGCCTCTCTTAAGAGCCATTTTAATAAAATGACTTGCTTTGTCTCCCACTTTGAAATGGTTCTTAACGTACTTGTCGACAGCCTGACGTGAAGAACCATTACGATCTTTCAGGGCGTGAAGGGCTTGTATGATCATTTCTGCATACTTAGGGTGTTCGGCCGGCTGTTTAGAAGCTTTCTTCTGGGTGCTTTTGACAGACATGTCTCGTTATAGTCTCCACAGCGATAGCTAATGTTGGTTACTTGCGCAACTCTTTTCTTAAGTTGTTATAGCGGACCGCAGAGGGATCAGTTACTACTGATCGCGATAGATCTGTTACCTCTAAGATGTTTGCTAAGTTCTTTGAAAATGAGATGGATTGTAAACGTCAACATAGGAAGACAGGCAGAGAGATAGACTGAACGAATAAGGAGTTGTTGGGCGCAATCACTAATTTTTTGGTAAGCTTAGGGATACTAGTACTCTACTGTGTCCTTATCGCGAAAAACTTGTAACGGCGTGGAGTATGAGAATTATTTCTGTCTCATTTCACTAGTAACTAATAAAGAAATAAGTAGAGACAAGGTAAGAAGTAGTTTATTGGCCATTAACTTTTATTGTCAGGTGGTGGCTCCTAAAGGAGCCGTTTGTAATGTGAGATTGTCAGAACCGAGCTGAGCTGTTATGCACGTTCGCCCCGGATCCTACGAGCCAACTGGATATCTTTAGGCATGATGGTGACACGTTTAGCGTGAATGGCGCAAAGGTTGGTGTCCTCGAAAAGACCGACCAGGTAGGCTTCGCTAGCCTCTTGAAGAGCCAGCACGGCTGAGCTTTGAAAGCGCAAGTCGGTCTTGAAATCCTGAGCGATTTCTCGAACAAGACGCTGAAACGGTAACTTGCGAATCAGCAACTCGGTGGACTTCTGATAACGACGGATCTCTCTGAGGGCCACTGTTCCTGGCCTGTAACGGTGCGGTTTTTTCACGCCACCAGTAGCAGGAGCGCTCTTTCGAGCTGCCTTAGTAGCCAGCTGTTTACGAGGCGCTTTTCCTCCGGTGGACTTTCTCGCTGTTTGCTTGGTTCGGGCCATGACTGTGAAACTGATGTTCAGAAGATTAAAGGCTCTATGTGAAAGCTGGGCAATTTTTATGGCCGCGATTTATCAGGAGGCTGTCGCAAGCCGATTGGATATTTAAGGATTTATGCATTTCTGATTGGTTCGGCTTCGGAGACACCCTGCTTTGATTTGCATGCCTTACAATAGACAGTGGGGCGAAAGAAAATTATAATATTCTTTTGTTGTCCTTTTACTAAGAACAAATCTATGTAAATACAAAAAATAATGTTTCCCGAGAGGTCAGATTGAAGGGTATAGATTGAAAAGTAATTTCTGTTCTGCAGTAATTTAACATAGAGCGAGACCTTTCCCTTTTTAAACCTTGACGATAATTCAGACAACCGAGAATGTCCGGTCGCGGCAAAGGAGGTAAAGGCTTGGGCAAAGGTGGTGCTAAGCGTCATCGTAAGATTCTACGCGATAATATCAAGGAATTACCAAGCCAGCGATCCGTCGTCTCGCTCGCCGTGGGGTGTAAAGCGAATTTCTGGACTGATCTACGAGGAGACACGCGGTGTTCTGAAAGTTTTCCTTGAGAACGTTATCCGCGATGCCGTGACCTACACCGAGCACGCCAAGCGTAAGACCGTTACAGCCATGGACGTAGTATACGCTCTGAAACGACAAGGACGTACTCTGTACGGTTTTGGGGGTTAGAATACACTGTAATCCCTGATCAACACTTAAACCAACGGCTCTTTTAGGAGCCAACAAATGTATGAAAAGCTCTGACCAATACGTGATAAGAGAATTTGTTTTCATTACGATCATTGCTGAAGGTTTATATACATATCAACAAGTCAACATACACCTGAAATCGATTCAGCGCTTTATTTACTGGGTGCGTCCACGCCAGTTTTTCTTTTTAGTGACTTTACAGCAGCGCAGTCGTTACTTATACAGGGAAATTATTTTTTTCCCGTCTAGATTAGCCTCATAGCTCTTTGCGGGGCATACAATACTGTAAAGCTTTTGTCTTTAATTAGTTAGTGAATAAACTGTTGTTGTACGTTGTTGTTGTGGCAGAATTAAGAGAGCAAGCTGGTTTGTGTCGTTACCGACGACGGTTTATAACTGTGTTAGTTTATTTTACGTAAACAGCTTGTGTACCGAAGGAAATCACGACGATCTCTTGTAATTTTTAGGCAAAGAAAACAACATTTCAAGCTCAGTAGTAGCAGCAATGTTTGTTCCCGGTTGGTAGGAATGCGATTAATTGTGTACTCGTTTAAAAAGAGCAGAAAGTTGTTCGATTGTCGCTTGGTATGTACCTCGAAGTTCGTATAAAAACCTGTTGGAAACAGCGCGAATGAAACCTGCATAGAAAGCAAACGCAATTTCAACTTTCATGATATAATCACATCAGTCTTTAAATTCATGTTACACCGAGCTAAACTGACCTAAGACTGGTTTCAGTTTTCAAGCAATGCTGTGGTTGCTGTTGTTTGTTTCTTACATGCGATAGCCGAAATAGCGCTAAATATGCTTTGGTATACGCATTTATGAACAAAACTAGCAACATGGAACCATGCAAAAACAAATAGAAATAGCGAGTTTCCGCGAGACATAATTATTTGTGGCTAAGTATCGATCGAGTTATTAACCCCAAACTTAGACGGCGAATACTATTTGGGGGGTAGATTACAAATTTATATCGTGATTGGTCATGACTTTATTCTAGACTTGGTGGCTCCTAAAAGAGCCGTTTGTATTTATGGTTGTTGCCGTCGCTTAGTGTTGTTTCTTCTCTGTCTTTTTAGGTAGTAATACTGCCTGAATGTTGGGAAGAACACCGCCTTGAGCGATGGTGACACCGGCAAGGAGTTTGTTTAATTCTTCGTCATTTCGCACAGCCAACTGGAGGTGACGAGGAATGATTCTTGACTTCTTGTTGTCGCGTGCTGCGTTTCCTGCTAACTCGAGGATCTCAGCACTCAGATACTCAATACGGCAGCCAAGTACACGGGAGCACCGGCTCCGACGCGTTCAGCGTAGTTGCCTTTACGAAGAAGGCGATGGATGCGACCAACAGGAAACTGTAGACCTGCCCTGGAAGAACGAGTCTTTGACTTGGTGCCCTGGGCTTTACCTTTTCCTCGTCCGGTCATTTTGTCGAGTAACTCGTATCTTAAGTTTCAGTTTAAGTTTCAGGAGACTGTTTTCCAAGACATGACTTCGGCCGCCATAATTTATCACGCGCGGACTGCGTTTCGTGGATCAGATTGCACCAATCAAAAGTCTTACATTGGCTCATAAAAGAAATTCTAGCCTTGCAATTGTTCTCTTTGTGTCGATTGGCGGCACGCTCCATTGTTTACACCGAGAAAAAAAAGACACCAATCACCGACGAGAACTTGCGATCCGCATATTAATTGATCCTATTGAATTTGGCAACATAAATAGAAACTGTGATATCCCGAATTACCAAACTCTATTTCGAAAAGGCAGAGATATCTTTCTTTACCATGGCACCTAAACCGATTGCAGCTAAAAAGGGGGAGAGAAGAAGAGCGGCGGTAAGGCAAAATCCACGTCGGGCGACAGTACGAAAAAACGGCGATCGAAACGGAAGGAGAGTTATGCGATCTACATCTACAAAGTGTTGAAGCAGGTACATCCTGACACCGGAATCTCCAGCAAAGCAATGGGTATCATGAACTCTTTCGTGAACGATATCTTTGAGCGCATTGCTACAGAATCCTCCCGTCTAGCCCACTACAACAAGAAGTCCACTATCAGCTCCCGCGAGATTCAGACAGCCATCAGACTGCTCCTTCCAGGAGAACTCGCAAAGCACGCAGTCAGTGAGGGTACCAAGGCCGTCACGAAGTACACTAGTAGCAAGTGAAGTCCATTCTTCAATACCAGATCTAAACAACGGCTCTTTTAGGAGCCACCAAATGTCAAAAAAAGCAATGATCAACACAGTTTCTTAGAGTTTTCAATCGTCATTATAAACCCTGAAACTCTTCGCACACTTGCTCCCATTAAAAAATGTCAAGGAACGAACAAATCATTCCTCTATTTACCCGTTCAACTTTACTTTTTACATAAAAAAAAACACAGATAAAGGTTTTAAAAGATGATTTTTATGTAAGCAAAAGAAAAAAAAAAAAAAAAAAGAAACAAATAAACGATTGCTGGTTGACAACACGCACCGAACCCAACAGTTTCCGCACGATCTCCTTCCCAGCGCGATGACCACTACACCACGCCAGAGAATCAACTGAAGTAGTTCGTAAAACAACGTTACTTAAAAAGTGTTACAGGCATGAACAGGTCATTTCGGTACTGCTTGAGAACAAGAAAACGGTTTACCAGGCTGCAAATATATATTTTCCGGGATGTAAGGGTTTTAATACTTCAAATCAGTTAAGCGGGAGGGATTCTTACTATTGAATATTGACGTTTACGGTAGTTTTCATTACCCGGGTACCTGATAACCAGTTTCTTGACCAAGGTGCATGTACTGACCACTTCGAATAAAAAGTATTTATCTTATCTGATCTGATCTGATCTGATCTTATGGAGTGGCTTTTGTTTACTCTTTTAAGGCGTCTCTAAGCCGCGGTTCAAGTAACCTTCTGCTTAACAAAAACGAAATCAGTTTCGGCAAAGGAGAAATAAATACTGTGCTATAGGTGAAGGTGACCTAAGGTCAACATACTAGAGGTGATATTGGTGATGACTTTTCTTTATTTGGTGGCTCCTAAAGGGCCGGTAGTTGAATAAGTGGGCGAGTTTTACTTGCCACTGACTTTCTTGTTGGCTGATTTTTTAACCGAGGCTTTGCTTTCTTTCGCTTTCTTAGGCAACGGCTTCTTTGTGGCAGTCTTCTTTGGCACGAGAGGTGTCTTCTTCTTGCTGCTGGAAACTTTCTTACCCGGCGATTTCTTGGTTTTCTCGGCTGGTTTGCGGGCGGTCTTTTCTTTCGCGGCGACCTTCTTTATTTTTTGGTTTGTTGGCTGGATCGGCGGTTTTGGTCTTCTTCGCCAGGTCTTTGGCTGCCTTTGCTTTCTTTACTTCTTTGTTGACCTTGAAAGAACCTGAAGCTCCGGACCCTTTGGTGTTGATAAATTGACCATTCTCCACGCCTCTCTTAAGAGCCATTTTAATAAAATGACTTGCTTTGTCTCCCACTTTGAAATGGTTCTTAACGTACTTGTCGACAGCCTGACGTGAAGAACCATTACGATCTTTCAGGGCGTGAAGGGCTTGTATGATCATTTCTGCATACTTAGGGTGTTCGGCCGGCTGTTTAGAAGCTTTCTTCTGGGTGCTTTTGACAGACATGTCTCGTTATAGTCTCCACAGCGATAGCTAATGTTGGTTACTTGCGCAACTCTTTTCTTAAGTTGTTATAGCGGACCGCAGAGGGATCAGTTACTACTGATCGCGATAGATCTATTACCTCTAAGATGTTTGCTAAGTTCTTTGAAAATGAGATGGATTGTAAACGTCAACATAGGAAGACAGGCAGAGAGATAGACTGAACGAATAAGGAGTTGTTGGGCGCAATCACTAATTTTTTTTGGTAAGCTTAGGGATACTAGTACTCTACTGTGTCCTTATCGCGAAAAAAACTTGTAACGGCGTGGAGTATGAGAATTATTTCTGTCTCATTTCACTAGTAACTAATAAAGAAATAAGTAGAGACAAGGTAAGAAGTAGTTTATTGGCCATTAACTTTTATTGTCAGGTGGTGGCTCCTAAAGGAGCCGTTTGTAATGTGAGATTGTCAGAACCGAGCTGAGCTGTTATGCACGTTCGCCCCGGATCCTACGAGCCAACTGGATATCTTTAGGCATGATGGTGACACGTTTAGCGTGAATGGCGCAAAGGTTGGTGTCCTCGAAAAGACCGACCAGGTAGGCTTCGCTAGCCTCTTGAAGAGCCAGCACGGCTGAGCTTTGAAAGCGCAAGTCGGTCTTGAAATCCTGAGCGATTTCTCGAACAAGACGCTGAAACGGTAACTTGCGAATCAGCAACTCGGTGGACTTCTGATAACGACGGATCTCTCTGAGGGCCACTGTTCCTGGCCTGTAACGGTGCGGTTTTTCACGCCACCAGTAGCAGGAGCGCTCTTTCGAGCTGCCTTAGTAGCCAGCTGTTTACGAGGCGCTTTTCCTCCGGTGGACTTTCTCGCTGTTTGCTTGGTTCGGGCCATGACTGTGAAACTGATGTTCAGAAGATTAAAGGCTCTATGTGAAAGCTGGGCAATTTTATGGCCGCGATTTATCAGGAGGCTGTCGCAAGCCGATTGGATATTTAAGGATTTATGCATTTCTGATTGGTTCGGCTTCGGAGACACCCTGCTTTGATTTGCATGCCTTACAATAGACAGTGGGGCGAAAAGAAAATTATAATATTCTTTTGTTGTCCTTTTACTAAGAACAAATCTATGTAAATACAAAAATAATGTTTCCCGAGAGGTCAGATTGAAGGGTATAGATTGAAAAGTAATTTCTGTTCTGCAGTAATTTAACATAGAGCGAGACCTTTCCTTTTTAAACCTTGACGATAATTCAGACAACCGAGAATGTCCGGTCGCGGCAAAGGAGGTAAAGGCTTGGGCAAAGGTGGTGCTAAGCGTCATCGTAAGATTCTACGCGATAATATCCAAGGAATTACCAAGCCAGCGATCCGTCGTCTCGCTCGCCGTGGGGGTGTAAAGCGAATTTCTGGACTGATCTACGAGGAGACACGCGGTGTTCTGAAAGTTTTCCTTGAGAACGTTATCCGCGATGCCGTGACCTACACCGAGCACGCCAAGCGTAAGACCGTTACAGCCATGGACGTAGTATACGCTCTGAAACGACAAGGACGTACTCTGTACGGTTTTGGGGGTTAGAATACACTGTAATCCCTGATCAACACTTAAACCAACGGCTCTTTTAGGAGCCAACAAATGTATGAAAAGCTCTGACCAATACGTGATAAGAGAATTTGTTTTCATTACGATCATTGCTGAAGGTTTATATACATATCAACAAGTCAACATACACCTGAAATCGATTCAGCGCTTTATTTACTGGGTGCGTCCACGCCAGTTTTTTTTTCTTTTTAGTGACTTTACAGCAGCGCAGTCGTTACTTATACAGGGAAATTATTTTTTTTCCCGTCTAGATTAGCCTCATAGCTCTTTGCGGGGCATACAATACTGTAAAGCTTTTGTCTTTAATTAGTTAGTGAATAAACTGTTGTTGTACGTTGTTGTTGTGGCAGAATTAAGAGAGCAAGCTGGTTTGTGTCGTTACCGACGACGGTTTATAACTGTGTTAGTTTATTTTACGTAAACAGCTTGTGTACCGAAGGAAATCACGACGATCTCTTGTAATTTTTAGGCAAAGAAAACAACATTTCAAGCTCAGTAGTAGCAGCAATGTTTGTTCCCGGTTGGTAGGAATGCGATTAATTGTGTACTCGTTTAAAAAGAGCAGAAAGTTGTTCGATTGTCGCTTGGTATGTACCTCGAAGTTCGTATAAAAACCTGTTGGAAACAGCGCGAATGAAACCTGCATAGAAAGCAAACGCAATTTCAACTTTCATGATATAATCACATCAGTCTTTAAATTCATGTTACACCGAGCTAAACTGACCTAAGACTGGTTTCAGTTTTTTCAAGCAATGCTGTGGTTGCTGTTGTTTGTTTCTTACATGCGATAGCCGAAATAGCGCTAAATATGCTTTGGTATACGCATTTATGAACAAAACTAGCAACATGGAACCATGCAAAAACAAATAGAAATAGCGAGTTTCCGCGAGACATAATTATTTGTGGCTAAGTATCGATCGAGTTATTAACCCCAAACTTAGACGGCGAATACTATTTGGGGGTAGATTACAAATTTATATCGTGATTGGTCATGACTTTATTCTAGACTTGGTGGCTCTAAAAAAGAGCCGTTTGTATTTATGGTTGTTGCCGTCGCTTAGTGTTGTTTCTTCTCTGTCTTTTTAGGTAGTAATACTGCCTGAATGTTGGGAAGAACACCGCCTTGAGCGATGGTGACACCGGCAAGGAGTTTGTTTAATTCTTCGTCATTTCGCACAGCCAACTGGAGGTGACGAGGAATGATTCTTGACTTCTTGTTGTCGCGTGCTGCGTTTCCTGCTAACTCGAGGATCTCAGCACTCAGATACTCAAGTACGGCAGCCAAGTACACGGGAGCACCGGCTCCGACGCGTTCAGCGTAGTTGCCTTTACGAAGAAGGCGATGGATGCGACCAACAGGAAACTGTAGACCTGCCCTGGAAGAACGAGTCTTTGACTTGGTGCCCTGGGCTTTACCTTTTCCTCGTCCGGTCATTTTGTCGAGTAACTCGTATCTTAAGTTTCAGTTTAAGTTTCAGGAGACTGTTTTCCAAGACATGACTTCGGCCGCCATAATTTATCACGCGCGGACTGCGTTTCGTGGATCAGATTGCACCAATCAAAAGTCTTACATTGGCTCATAAAAGAAATTCTAGCCTTGCAATTGTTCTCTTTGTGTCGATTGGCGGCACGCTCCATTGTTTACACCGAGAAAAAAAAAGACACCAATCACCGACGAGAACTTGCGATCCGCATATTAATTGATCCTATTGAATTTGGCAACATAAATAGAAACTGTGATATCCCGAATTACCAAACTCTATTTCGAAAAGGCAGAGATATCTTTCTTTACCATGGCACCTAAACCGATTGCAGCTAAAAAGGGAGAGAAGAAGAGCGGCGGTAAGGCAAAATCCACGTCGGGCGACAGTACGAAAAAACGGCGATCGAAACGGAAGGAGAGTTATGCGATCTACATCTACAAAGTGTTGAAGCAGGTACATCCTGACACCGGAATCTCCAGCAAAGCAATGGGTATCATGAACTCTTTCGTGAACGATATCTTTGAGCGCATTGCTACAGAATCCTCCCGTCTAGCCCACTACAACAAGAAGTCCACTATCAGCTCCCGCGAGATTCAGACAGCCAGCCATCAGACTGCTCCTTCCAGGAGAACTCGCAAAGCACGCAGTCAGTGAGGGTACCAAGGCCGTCACGAAGTACACTAGTAGCAAGTGAAGTCCATTCTTCAATACCAGATCTAAACAACGGCTCTTTTAGGAGCCACCAAATGTCAAAAAAAAAAGCAATGATCAACACAGTTTCTTAGAGTTTTCAATCGTCATTATAAACCCTGAAACTCTTCGCACACTTGCTCCCATTAAAAATGTCAAGGAACGAACAAATCATTCCTCTATTTACCCGTTCAACTTTACTTTTTACATAAAAAACACACAGATAAAGGTTTTAAAAGATGATTTTTATGTAAAAAAGAAAAAAAAAAAAAAAAAAAACAAATAAACGATTGCTGGTTGACAACACGCACCGAACCCAACAGTTTCCGCACGATCTCCTTCCCAGCGCGATGACCACTACACCACGCCAGAGAATCAACTGAAGTAGTTCGTAAAACAACGTTACTTAAAAGTGTTACAGGCATGAACAGGTCATTTCGGTACTGCTGCTTGAGAACAAGAAAACGGTTTACCAGGCTGCAAATATATATTTTCCGGGATGTAAGGGTTTTAATACTTCAAATCAGTTAAGCGGGAGGGATTCTTACTATTGAATATTGACGTTTACGGTAGTTTTCATTACCCGGGTACCTGATAACCAGTTTCTTGACCAAGGTGCATGTACTGACCACTTCGAATAAAAAGTATTTATCTTATCTGATCTGATCTGATCTGATCTTATGGAGTGGCTTTTGTTTACTCTTTTAAGGCGTCTCTAAGCCGCGGTTCAAGTAACCTTCTGCTTAACAAAAACGAAATCAGTTTCGGCAAAGGAGAAATAAATACTGTGCTATAGGTGAAGGTGACCTAAGGTCAACATACTAGAGGTGATATTGGTGATGACTTTTCTTTATTTGGTGGCTCTAAAGGGGCCGGTAGTTGAATAAGTGGGCGAGTTTTACTTGCCACTGACTTTCTTGTTGGCTGATTTTTTAACCGAGGCTTTGCTTTCTTTCGCTTTCTTAGGCAACGGCTTCTTTGTGGCAGTCTTCTTTGGCACGAGAGGTGTCTTCTTCTTGCTGCTGGAAACTTTCTTACCCGGCGATTTCTTGGTTTTCTCGGCTGGTTTGCGGGCGGTCTTTTCTTTCGCGGCGACCTTCTTTATTTTTGGTTTGTTGGCTGGATCGGCGGTTTTGGTCTTCTTCGCCAGGTCTTTGGCTGCCTTTGCTTTCTTTACTTCTTTGTTGACCTTGAAAGAACCTGAAGCTCCGGACCCTTTGGTGTTGATAAATTGACCATTCTCCACGCCTCTCTTAAGAGCCATTTTAATAAAATGACTTGCTTTGTCTCCCACTTTGAAATGGTTCTTAACGTACTTGTCGACAGCCTGACGTGAAGAACCATTACGATCTTTCAGGGCGTGAAGGGCTTGTATGATCATTTCTGCATACTTAGGGTGTTCGGCCGGCTGTTTAGAAGCTTTCTTCTGGGTGCTTTTGACAGACATGTCTCGTTATAGTCTCCACAGCGATAGCTAATGTTGGTTACTTGCGCAACTCTTTTCTTAAGTTGTTATAGCGGACCGCAGAGGGATCAGTTACTACTGATCGCGATAGATCTATTACCTCTAAGATGTTTGCTAAGTTCTTTGAAAATGAGATGGATTGTAAACGTCAACATAGGAAGACAGGCAGAGAGATAGACTGAACGAATAAGGAGTTGTTGGGCGCAATCACTAATTTTTTTGGTAAGCTTAGGGATACTAGTACTCTACTGTGTCCTTATCGCGAAAAACTTGTAACGGCGTGGAGTATGAGAATTATTTCTGTCTCATTTCACTAGTAACTAATAAAGAAATAAGTAGAGACAAGGTAAGAAGTAGTTTATTGGCCATTAACTTTTATTGTCAGGTGGTGGCTCCTAAAGGAGCCGTTTGTAATGTGAGATTGTCAGAACCGAGCTGAGCTGTTATGCACGTTCGCCCCGGATCCTACGAGCCAACTGGATATCTTTAGGCATGATGGTGACACGTTTAGCGTGAATGGCGCAAAGGTTGGTGTCCTCGAAAAGACCGACCAGGTAGGCTTCGCTAGCCTCTTGAAGAGCCAGCACGGCTGAGCTTTGAAAGCGCAAGTCGGTCTTGAAATCCTGAGCGATTTCTCGAACAAGACGCTGAAACGGTAACTTGCGAATCAGCAACTCGGTGGACTTCTGATAACGACGGATCTCTCTGAGGGCCACTGTTCCTGGCCTGTAACGGTGCGGTTTTTCACGCCACCAGTAGCAGGAGCGCTCTTTCGAGCTGCCTTAGTAGCCAGCTGTTTACGAGGCGCTTTTCCTCCGGTGGACTTTCTCGCTGTTTGCTTGGTTCGGGCCATGACTGTGAAACTGATGTTCAGAAGATTAAAGGCTCTATGTGAAAGCTGGGCAATTTTATGGCCGCGATTTATCAGGAGGCTGTCGCAAAGCCGATTGGATATTTAAGGATTTATGCATTTCTGATTGGTTCGGCTTCGGAGACACCCTGCTTTGATTTGCATGCCTTACAATAGACAGTGGGGCGAAAGAAAATTATAATATTCTTTTGTTGTCCTTTTACTAAGAACAAATCTATGTAAATACAAAATAATGTTTCCCGAGAGGTCAGATTGAAGGGTATAGATTGAAAAGTAATTTCTGTTCTGCAGTAATTTAACATAGAGCGAGACCTTTCCCTTTTTAAACCTTGACGATAATTCAGACAACCGAGAATGTCCGGTCGCGGCAAAGGAGGTAAAGGCTTGGGCAAAGGTGGTGCTAAGCGTCATCGTAAGATTCTACGCGATAATATCAAGGAATTACCAAGCCAGCGATCCGTCGTCTCGCTCGCCGTGGGGGTGTAAAGCGAATTTCTGGACTGATCTACGAGGAGACACGCGGTGTTCTGAAAGTTTTCCTTGAGAACGTTATCCGCGATGCCGTGACCTACACCGAGCACGCCAAGCGTAAGACCGTTACAGCCATGGACGTAGTATACGCTCTGAAACGACAAGGACGTACTCTGTACGGTTTTGGGGGTTAGAATACACTGTAATCCCTGATCAACACTTAAACCAACGGCTCTTTTAGGAGCCAACAAATGTATGAAAAGCTCTGACCAATACGTGATAAGAGAATTTGTTTTCATTACGATCATTGCTGAAGGTTTATATACATATCAACAAGTCAACATACACCTGAAATCGATTCAGCGCTTTATTTACTGGGTGCGTCCACGCCAGTTTTTTTTTCTTTTTAGTGACTTTACAGCAGCGCAGTCGTTACTTATACAGGGAAATTATTTTTTCCCGTCTAGATTAACCTCATAGCTCTTTGCGGGGGCATACAATACTGTAAAGCTTTTGTCTTTAATTAGTTAGTGAATAAACTGTTGTTGTACGTTGTTGTTGTGGCAGAATTAAGAGAGCAAGCTGGTTTGTGTCGTTACCGACGACGGTTTATAACTGTGTTAGTTTATTTTACGTAAACAGCTTGTGTACCGAAGGAAATCACGACGATCTCTTGTAATTTTTAGGCAAAACAACATTTCAAGCTCAGTAGTAGCAGCAATGTTTGTTCCCGGTTGGTAGGAATGCGATTAATTGTGTACTCGTTTAAAAAGAGCAGAAAGTTGTTCGATTGTCGCTTGGTATGTACCTCGAAGTTCGTATAAAAACCTGTTGGAAACAGCGCGAATGAAACCTGCATAGAAAGCAAACGCAATTTCAACTTTCATGATATAATCACATCAGTCTTTAAATTCATGTTACACCGAGCTAAACTGACCTAAGACTGGTTTCAGTTTTCAAGCAATGCTGTGGTTGCTGTTGTTTGTTTCTTACATGCGATAGCCGAAATAGCGCTAAATATGCTTTGGTATACGCATTTATGAACAAAACTAGCAACATGGAACCATGCAAAAACAAATAGAAATAGCGAGTTTCCGCGAGACATAATTATTTGTGGCTAAGTATCGATCGAGTTATTAACCCCAAACTTAGACGGCGAATACTATTTGGGGGGTAGATTACAAATTTATATCGTGATTGGTCATGACTTTATTCTAGACTTGGTGGCTCCTAAAAGAGCCGTTTGTATTTATGGTTGTTGCCGTCGCTTAGTGTTGTTTCTTCTCTGTCTTTTTAGGTAGTAATACTGCCTGAATGTTGGGAAGAACACCGCCTTGAGCGATGGTGACACCGGCAAGGAGTTTGTTTAATTCTTCGTCATTTCGCACAGCCAACTGGAGGTGACGAGGAATGATTCTTGACTTCTTGTTGTCGCGTGCTGCGTTTCCTGCTAACTCGAGGATCTCAGCACTCAGATACTCAAGTACGGCAGCCAAGTACACGGGAGCACCGGCTCCGACGCGTTCAGCGTAGTTGCCTTTACGAAGAAGGCGATGGATGCGACCAACAGGAAACTGTAGACCTGCCCTGGAAGAACGAGTTTTGACTTGGTGCCCTGGGCTTTACCTTTTCCTCGTCCGGTCATTTTGTCGAGTAACTCGTATCTTAAGTTTCAGTTTAAGTTTCAGGAGACTGTTTTCCAAGACATGACTTCGGCCGCCATAATTTATCACGCGCGGACTGCGTTTCGTGGATCAGATTGCACCAATCAAAAGTCTTACATTGGCTCATAAAAAAGAAATTCTAGCCTTGCAATTGTTCTCTTTGTGTCGATTGGCGGCACGCTCCATTGTTTACACCGAGAAAAAAAAGACACCAATCACCGACGAGAACTTGCGATCCGCATATTAATTGATCCTATTGAATTTGGCAACATAAATAGAAACTGTGATATCCCGAATTACCAAACTCTATTTCGAAAAGGCAGAGATATCTTTCTTTACCATGGCACCTAAACCGATTGCAGCTAAAAGGGAGAGAAGAAGAGCGGCGGTAAGGCAAAATCCACGTCGGGCGACAGTACGAAAAAACGGCGATCGAAACGGAAGGAGAGTTATGCGATCTACATCTACAAAGTGTTGAAGCAGGTACATCCTGACACCGGAATCTCCAGCAAAGCAATGGGTATCATGAACTCTTTCGTGAACGATATCTTTGAGCGCATTGCTACAGAATCCTCCCGTCTAGCCCACTACAACAGAAGTCCACTATCAGCTCCCGCGAGATTCAGACAGCCATCAGACTGCTCCTTCCAGGAGAACTCGCAAAGCACGCAGTCAGTGAGGGTACCAAGGCCGTCACGAAGTACACTAGTAGCAAGTGAAGTCCATTCTTCAATACCAGATCTAAACAACGGCTCTTTTAGGAGCCACCAAATGTCAAAAAAAGCAATGATCAACACAGTTTCTTAGAGTTTTCAATCGTCATTATAAACCCTGAAACTCTTCGCACACTTGCTCCCATTAAAAATGTCAAGGAACGAACAAATCATTCCTCTATTTACCCGTTCAACTTACTTTTTTTACAAAAAACACACAGATAAAGGTTTTAAAAGATGATTTTTATGTAAGCAAAAGAAAAAAAAAAAAAAAAAAAACAAATAAACGATTGCTGGTTGACAACACGCACCGAACCCAACAGTTTCCGCACGATCTCCTTCCCAGCGCGATGACCACTACACCACGCCAGAGAATCAACTGAAGTAGTTCGTAAAACAACGTTACTTAAAAAGTGTTACAGGCATGAACAGGTCATTTCGGTACTGCGCGAGAACAAGAAAACGGTTTACCAGGCTGCAAATATATATTTTCCGGGATGTAAGGGTTTTAATACTTCAAATCAGTTAAGCGGGAGGGATTCTTACTATTGAATATTGACGTTTACGGTAGTTTTCATTACCCGGGTACCTGATAACCAGTTTCTTGACCAAGGTGCATGTACTGACCACTTCGAATAAAAAGTATTTATCTTATCTGATCTGATCTGATCTGATCTTATGGAGTGGCTTTTGTTTACTCTTTTAAGGCGTCTCTAAGCCGCGGTTCAAGTAACCTTCTGCTTAACAAAAACGAAATCAGTTTCGGCAAAGGAGAAATAAATACTGTGCTATAGGTGAAGGTGACCTAAGGTCAACATACTAGAGGTGATATTGGTGATGACTTTTCTTTATTTGGTGGCTCCTAAAGGGCCGGTAGTTGAATAAGTGGGCGAGTTTTTTACTTGCCACTGACTTTCTTGTTGGCTGATTTTTTAACCGAGGCTTTGCTTTCTTTCGCTTTCTTAGGCAACAGCTTCTTTGTGGCAGTCTTCTTTGGCACGAGAGGTGTCTTCTTCTTGCTGCTGGAAACTTTCTTACCCGGCGATTTCTTGGTTTTTTCTCGGCTGGTTTGCGGGCGGTCTTTTCTTTCGCGGCGACCTTCTTTATTTTTGGTTTGTTGGCTGGATCGGCGGTTTTGGTCTTCTTCGCCAGGTCTTTGGCTGCCTTTGCTTTCTTTACTTCTTTGTTGACCTTGAAAGAACCTGAAGCTCCGGACCCTTTGGTGTTGATAAATTGACCATTCTCCACGCCTCTCTTAAGAGCCATTTTAATAAAATGACTTGCTTTGTCTCCCACTTTGAAATGGTTCTTAACGTACTTGTCGACAGCCTGACGTGAAGAACCATTACGATCTTTCAGGGCGTGAAGGGCTTGTATGATCATTTCTGCATACTTAGGGTGTTCGGCCGGCTGTTTAGAAGCTTTCTTCTGGGTGCTTTTGACAGACATGTCTCGTTATAGTCTCCACAGCGATAGCTAATGTTGGTTACTTGCGCAACTCTTTTCTTAAGTTGTTATAGCGGACCGCAGAGGGATCAGTTACTACTGATCGCGATAGATCTATTACCTCTAAGATGTTTGCTAAGTTCTTTGAAAATGAGATGGATTGTAAACGTCAACATAGGAAGACAGGCAGAGATAGACTGAACGAATAAGGAGTTGTTGGGCGCAATCACTAATTTTTTGGTAAGCTTAGGGATACTAGTACTCTACTGTGTCCTTATCGCGAAAAACTTGTAACGGCGTGGAGTATGAGAATTATTTCTGTCTCATTTCACTAGTAACTAATAAAGAAATAAGTAGAGACAAGGTAAAAGTAGTTTATTGGCCATTAACTTTTTTTATTGTCAGGTGGTGGCTCCTAAAGGAGCCGTTTGTAATGTGAGATTGTCAGAACCGAGCTGAGCTGTTATGCACGTTCGCCCCGGATCCTACGAGCCAACTGGATATCTTTAGGCATGATGGTGACACGTTTAGCGTGAATGGCGCAAAGGTTGGTGTCCTCGAAAAGACCGACCAGGTAGGCTTCGCTAGCCTCTTGAAGAGCCAGCACGGCTGAGCTTTGAAAGCGCAAGTCGGTCTTGAAATCCTGAGCGATTTCTCGAACAAGACGCTGAAACGGTAACTTGCGAATCAGCAACTCGGTGGACTTCTGATAACGACGGATCTCTCTGGGGCCACTGTTCCTGGCCTGTAACGGTGCGGTTTTTCACGCCACCAGTAGCAGGAGCGCTCTTTCGAGCTGCCTTAGTAGCCAGCTGTTTACGAGGCGCTTTTCCTCCGGTGGACTTTCTCGCTGTTTGCTTGGTTCGGGCCATGACTGTGAAACTGATGTTCAGAAGATTAAAGGCTCTATGTGAAAGCTGGGCAATTTTATGGCCGCGATTTATCAGGAGGCTGTCGCAAGCCGATTGGATATTTAAGGATTTATGCATTTCTGATTGGTTCGGCTTCGGAGACACCCTGCTTTGATTTGCATGCCTTACAATAGACAGTGGGGCGAAAAGAAAATTATAATATTCTTTTGTTGTCCTTTTACTAAGAACAAATCTATGTAAATACAAAAATAATGTTTCCCGAGAGGTCAGATTGAAGGGTATAGATTGAAAAGTAATTTCTGTTCTGCAGTAATTTAACATAGAGCGAGACCTTTCCCTTTTTAAACCTTGACGATAATTCAGACAACCGAGAATGTCCGGTCGCGGCAAAGGAGGTAAAGGCTTGGGCAAAGGTGGTGCTAAGCGTCATCGTAAGATTCTACGCGATAATATCAAGGAATTACCAAGCCAGCGATCCGTCGTCTCGCTCGCCGTGGGGTGTAAAGCGAATTTCTGGACTGATCTACGAGGAGACACGCGGTGTTCTGAAAGTTTTCCTTGAGAACGTTATCCGCGATGCCGTGACCTACACCGAGCACGCCAAGCGTAAGACCGTTACAGCCATGGACGTAGTATACGCTCTGAAACGACAAGGACGTACTCTGTACGGTTTTGGGGGTTAGAATACACTGTAATCCCTGATCAACACTTAAACCAACGGCTCTTTTAGGAGCCAACAAATGTATGAAAAGCTCTGACCAATACGTGATAAGAGAATTTGTTTTCATTACGATCATTGCTGAAGGTTTATATACATATCAACAAGTCAACATACACCTGAAATCGATTCAGCGCTTTATTTACTGGGTGCGTCCACGCCAGTTTTTCTTTTTAGTGACTTTAGCAGCGCAGTCGTTACTTATACAGGGAAATTATTTTTTTCCCGTCTAGATTAACCTCATAGCTCTTTGCGGGGCATACAATACTGTAAAGCTTTTGTCTTTAATTAGTTAGTGAATAAACTGTTGTTGTACGTTGTTGTTGTGGCAGAATTAAAAGAGCAAGCTGGTTTGTGTCGTTACCGACGACGGTTTATAACTGTGTTAGTTTATTTTACGTAAACAGCTTGTGTACCGAAGGAAATCACGACGATCTCTTGTAATTTTTAGGCAAAAAAACAACATTTCAAGCTCAGTAGTAGCAGCAATGTTTGTTCCCGGTTGGTAGGAATGCGATTAATTGTGTACTCGTTTAAAAAGAGCAGAAAGTTGTTCGATTGTCGCTTGGTATGTACCTCGAAGTTCGTATAAAAACCTGTTGGAAACAGCGCGAATGAAACCTGCATAGAAAGCAAACGCAATTTCAACTTTCATGATATAATCACATCAGTCTTTAAATTCATGTTACACCGAGCTAAACTGACCTAAGACTGGTTTCAGTTTTCAAGCAATGCTGTGGTTGCTGTTGTTTGTTTCTTACATGCGATAGCCGAAATAGCGCTAAATATGCTTTGGTATACGCATTTATGAACAAAACTAGCAACATGGAACCATGCAAAAACAAATAGAAATAGCGAGTTTCCGCGAGACATAATTATTTGTGGCTAAGTATCGATCGAGTTATTAACCCCAAACTTAGACGGCGAATACTATTTGGGGGGTAGATTACAAATTTATATCGTGATTGGTCATGACTTTATTCTAGACTTGGTGGCTCCTAAAAAGAGCCGTTTGTATTTATGGTTGTTGCCGTCGCTTAGTGTTGTTTCTTCTCTGTCTTTTTAGGTAGTAATACTGCCTGAATGTTGGGAAGAACACCGCCTTGAGCGATGGTGACACCGGCAAGGAGTTTGTTTAATTCTTCGTCATTTCGCACAGCCAACTGGGGTGACGAGGAATGATTCTTGACTTCTCTTGTTGTCGCGTGCTGCGTTTCCTGCTAACTCGAGGATCTCAGCACTCAGATACTCAAGTACGGCAGCCAAGTACACGGGAGCACCGGCTCCGACGCGTTCAGCGTAGTTGCCTTTACGAAGAAGGCGATGGATGCGACCAACAGGAAACTGTAGACCTGCCCTGGAAGAACGAGTCTTTGACTTGGTGCCCTGGGCTTTACCTTTTCCTCGTCCGGTCATTTTGTCGAGTAACTCGTATCTTAAGTTTCAGTTTAAGTTTCAGGAGACTGTTTTCCAAGACATGACTTCGGCCGCCATAATTTATCACGCGCGGACTGCGTTTCGTGGATCAGATTGCACCAATCAAAAGTCTTACATTGGCTCATAAAAGAAATTCTAGCCTTGCAATTGTTCTCTTTGTGTCGATTGGCGGCACGCTCCATTGTTTACACCGAGAAAAAAAAGACACCAATCACCGACGAGAACTTGCGATCCGCATATTAATTGATCCTATTGAATTTGGCAACATAAATAGAAACTGTGATATCCCGAATTACCAAACTCTATTTCGAAAAGGCAGAGATATCTTTCTTTACCATGGCACCTAAACCGATTGCAGCTAAAAAGGGGAGAAGAAGAGCGGCGGTAAGGCAAAATCCACGTCGGGCGACAGTACGAAAAAACGGCGATCGAAACGGAAGGAGAGTTATGCGATCTACATCTACAAAGTGTTGAAGCAGGTACATCCTGACACCGGAATCTCCAGCAAAGCAATGGGTATCATGAACTCTTTCGTGAACGATATCTTTGAGCGCATTGCTACAGAATCCTCCCGTCTAGCCCACTACAACAAAAGTCCACTATCAGCTCCCGCGAGATTCAGACAGCCATCAGACTGCTCCTTCAGGAGAACTCGCAAAAGCACGCAGTCAGTGAGGGTACCAAGGCCGTCACGAAGTACACTAGTAGCAAGTGAAGTCCATTCTTCAATACCAGATCTAAACAACGGCTCTTTTAGGAGCCACCAAATAAAAAAAAAAAAAGCAATGATCAACACAGTTTCTTAGAGTTTTCAATCGTCATTATAAACCCTGAAACTCTTCGCACACTTGCTCCCATTAAAAATGTCAAGGAACGAACAAATCATTCCTCTATTTACCCGTTCAACTTTACTTTTTACATAAAAAACACACAGATAAAGGTTTTAAAAGATGATTTTTATGTAAGCAAAAAAAAAAAAAAAAAAAAAAAAAAACAAATAAACGATTGCTGGTTGACAACACGCACCGAACCCAACAGTTTCCGCACGATCTCCTTCCCAGCGCGATGACCACTACACCACGCCAGAGAATCAACTGAAGTAGTTCGTAAAACAACGTTACTTAAAAAGTGTTACAGGCATGAACAGGTCATTTCGGTACTGCGCGAGAACAAGAAAACGGTTTACCAGGCTGCAAATATATATTTTCCGGGATGTAAGGGTTTTAATACTTCAAATCAGTTAAGCGGGAGGATTCTTACTATTGAATATTGACGTTTACGGTAGTTTTCATTACCCGGGTACCTGATAACCAGTTTCTTGACCAAGGTGCATGTACTGACCACTTCGAATAAAAAGTATTTATCTTATCTGATCTGATCTGATCTGATCTTATGGAGTGGCTTTTGTTTACTCTTTTAAGGCGTCTCTAAGCCGCGGTTCAAGTAACCTTCTGCTTAACAAAAACGAAATCAGTTTCGGCAAAGGAGAAATAAATACTGTGCTATAGGTGAAGGTGACCTAAGGTCAACATACTAGAGGTGATATTGGTGATGACTTTTCTTTATTTGGTGGCTCTAAAGGCCGGTAGTTGAATAAGTGGGCGAGTTTTACTTGCCACTGACTTTCTTGTTGGCTGATTTTTTAACCGAGGCTTTGCTTTCTTTCGCTTTCTTAGGCAACAGCTTCTTTGTGGCAGTCTTCTTTGGCACGAGAGGTGTCTTCTTCTTGCTGCTGGAAACTTTCTTACCCGGCGATTTCTTGGTTTTCTCGGCTGGTTTGCGGGCGGTCTTTTCTTTCGCGGCGACCTTCTTGGTTTTTTTGGTTTGTTGGCTGGATCGGCGGTTTTGGTCTTCTTCGCCAGGTCTTTGGCTGCCTTTGCTTTCTTTACTTCTTTGTTGACCTTGAAAGAACCTGAAGCTCCGGACCCTTTGGTGTTGATAAATTGACCATTCTCCACGCCTCTCTTAAGAGCCATTTTAATAAAATGACTTGCTTTGTCTCCCACTTTGAAATGGTTCTTAACGTACTTGTCGACAGCCTGACGTGAAGAACCATTACGATCTTTCAGGGCGTGAAGGGCTTGTATGATCATTTCTGCATACTTAGGGTGTTCGGCCGGCTGTTTAGAAGCTTTCTTCTGGGTGCTTTTGACAGACATGTCTCGTTATAGTCTCCACAGCGATAGCTAATGTTGGTTACTTGCGCAACTCTTTTCTTAAGTTGTTATAGCGGACCGCAGAGGGATCAGTTACTACTGATCGCGATAGATCTATTACCTCTAAGATGTTTGCTAAGTTCTTTGAAAATGAGATGGATTGTAAACGTCAACATAGGAAGACAGGCAGAGATAGACTGAACGAATAAGGAGTTGTTGGGCGCAATCACTAATTTTTGGTAAGCTTAGGGATACTAGTACTCTACTGTGTCCTTATCGCGAAAAACTTGTAACGGCGTGGAGTATGAGAATTATTTCTGTCTCATTTCACTAGTAACTAATAAAAAAGAAATAAGTAGAGACAAGGTAAGAAGTAGTTTATTGGCCATTAACTTTTTTATTGTCAGGTGGTGGCTCCTAAAGGAGCCGTTTGTAATGTGAGATTGTCAGAACCGAGCTGAGCTGTTATGCACGTTCGCCCCGGATCCTACGAGCCAACTGGATATCTTTAGGCATGATGGTGACACGTTTAGCGTGAATGGCGCAAAGGTTGGTGTCCTCGAAAAGACCGACCAGGTAGGCTTCGCTAGCCTCTTGAAAGAGCCAGCACGGCTGAGCTTTGAAAGCGCAAGTCGGTCTTGAAATCCTGAGCGATTTCTCGAACAAGACGCTGAAACGGTAACTTGCGAATCAGCAACTCGGTGGACTTCTGATAACGACGGATCTCTCTGAGGGGCCACTGTTCCTGGCCTGTAACGGTGCGGTTTTTCACGCCACCAGTAGCAGGAGCGCTCTTTCGAGCTGCCTTAGTAGCCAGCTGTTTACGAGGCGCTTTTCCTCCGGTGGACTTTCTCGCTGTTTGCTTGGTTCGGGCCATGACTGTGAAACTGATGTTCAGAAGATTAAAGGCTCTATGTGAAAGCTGGGCAATTTTATGGCCGCGATTTATCAGGAGGCTGTCGCAAGCCGATTGGATATTTAAGGATTTATGCATTTCTGATTGGTTCGGCTTCGGAGACACCCTGCTTTGATTTGCATGCCTTACAATAGACAGTGGGGCGAAAAGAAAATTATAATATTCTTTTGTTGTCCTTTTACTAAGAACAAATCTATGTAAAT